GTGTTCGGTTTCGTATAATGCACAATACAATCCTGCTGGTGTATCAAGTCGAGATTAAATTACACATTTTGTTTTAGCAACGAGTATAGGTGTATCTTCTTCCTGGTAATTGTGCCCTTTTGTCTAACCGGTCCCCCCTGCGATGAGAATCCGTACGATTGCCGGGGATGTCGCGGTTCTCCTGAGGAAAACCGGAGCCCCAAGCCAAGAATACCTAATACTTAAGATTGCTAAAATTATAACGGCGGTTTCGGCCACTTGCGAGCCTGCAGGGTAGGCCTCCTGATAAAAAAAATAGTTCCTAAGAAAATCTCGAAACTTGGCAACGTCTATTTTTGCGTAACTTCCTAGTTTCTTATAGCTTCTACACTTTTCTATATTCAACTCGGTAATCTCTAGAGGAAACTTTGTATTAAGGTTTTTATAAAAATATTTTGAAATCTACGGAGTCCGTCGCTGGTAATGCCGCGACATAAATCTCGGTAAGAGCGGTGTACGTAGCAGGAATTCATCTTGTAAAAACAGCTTTATGCAATTTTATGCTGAAAGAGGAGTTTGTAATTTGGTCGGTGAATGCGCCACACTACGCTGCCTCCGAAACCTCACTCTTATTCTTGTTTGTTATTTATCCATCTGTTCCTGTTTGTCCATCAAATAAGATATTTTTATTCGGATAATGATTGCGATATTTCGATTTTCTGTGATCTAAGAGGTTTTGTTGTATAGTTAAAATCAGTAGTTATTTCATTTACTGTTTTCTAAGTATCGAAAATTTTGCAGATTGAAAAGAAAAATACATAATGTATAGTGGTAAAATACTTTTTTTTTTCACTTAGGAACTGAAGAATAATTATTTTAGTAATTGAGATGGCGGTGCGAAATCGATTCATTCGGCATACATTTATTCCCTTGCCTCCGAACTACTACGCAATGAAAACCATATTGATGAAAACCATCCAATCAATCAGTAACCACTGCAGCTTGATATCAAATAGAGCTTGTAAGTTACATAAAAAATCTACCTACTTATGCGTATCATTAGGGAAAGAAAAAACAAGCATTTATCATGTTTTTATTTACCGTCGACTGAGGATCGAAGGCAATAAAATTCCCTTTCGGCCGTCAAGCGAAAGGAAAACTCCGGGCAATCTCTTAACTTTTTTTTTCTGGCAATTATCATCGGTTTCGTAAGAAATAAAAATATTTGCTGCTGTCTTGTCTGCACGATAATCCCGCGGAAAAAACCGAACAGACGGCCTTTTGAGCTGGAAAAATTGTTAAACAAGTTTCACAAGAAATCTCATTAAATACATTTATACAGGGTGTAATTGCGGGTTTTATTTAGGGGTAATTTACTTATTGTGGATTATAAAAAAATCTAGCTATATTTGCGAGTCATCCTGCATTTTTGAAATGATATCCTCCAATCAAATCAAAAAATAATTTATATGACAGTAGATACACGAAGGGAAAAAATAATGATGAGTCGGTGACTTCGTTATTATATTTCTTCGATGGACGAGAATTGCAAAAAAATAGCGGAAAATGCGCTCGAAAGTATAATTTGAACTGACGATTCCAGGAAAATTGCTAGGGAATTGCTTAGGGAAACGACTTTAATTTCCTTCCACCTTTCCATCCGTTTGCGGGTTACTTCCAACTTTATCAATTAGCGAACTACGCGCAATAAATAAAAATCTGATTTAGACGATTCTTTTTTTATAGTGGTTCATCCCGTATAAAATTTGAAACTATGGAACTTTTTGGATCCCCACTAGATGACAAATCAGAGCTGCCAACGCAATTATTGTCAATGTCACAACCAAAAAATTCCCAATCATTTTAAATCCGCCTGTTCGATATCCATAAAAAAATATTAGATAATTAATTCACCATCCGTCCCTGCTTCCCGATTCTTACAGCAGCCCCTTCCCGGTACCGGCGTCCGCCCCCCCGATTATCAGACGAGCTACTAATTAGCGGTTAGGGCTAATGGATGAAGGTGCGGCATCGGTTTTATAAATTCGTACCCGTTCGAACGCGTTTCTATAGGTGGGCTCTGTACGAGGGTGGCCGAAATAAATTGAAAGTCATCGTGAAATATGATGATGGCGCACTTGCGATAAACGCCATAGATAAACACGTATTTTCAATTTATTTCCATGAAGCCATAAAGTAGTGCATTATCGTAAAAATGCGCCGGGGAAATTTTCACGGAATTTTCATTAAATCGTCGGCGGGATAAATCAACGCTGTTCTCGTTATATTTTGATTATACTCTCTGTTATTTTGGTACAACATTAACTGAAATAGTTATCACATGCTCGTTTTTATACCACATACAAATATCACATTTTCGTTATTACTAAATGAAAATTCAAACTTCCAATGTATCTAATAATCTGGCTTTATTTTATGAACATGTCCACCTTTTGTTCCACCATGTTACCACCATGTTCCACCTCCACAAGCTTTTTTTAAACCCGACAAAAATAAATTTCACTTACTTGTAAAATTTTTGCTGATTTAAAACTCCGGGTTATTTACTAATACATCAATCGATGAAACGGGACAGGAGAATTTGGCGCGTTAATTAAATTAAAATCGCGTGCTTTTTTTACTTCGGGAACCATCAAAGGCGATGAATTTCGATCCGTTTCGCGTCGACAATTTCGAAATTAAAAAGATTACTATCGGGGGCTTTCTTGCGGATTAACCTGAATGGGATGTTTTTCACACGTTGAACGAATTCACGCCGAAATTGTCTACCTGTAAAAAAAAAATTGGACCAGATTGCGAATAACATAAATATAAAACCTTTCACAAGTACATAAATATCGTTTTCAATTTTCTCCTGCATAGTGCGACCACCTGGAAATTTAAAATATATTGAACGTATTCTTATTGCATCTATGTATTTCAGGACGCACTGTATATGGTGAAAAATCAATAATCCCTAATCATATTTCCTCTAAAGACTTACAAATTCCGCGAACAAGCCTTACAAAAACCTAAGACGATCAAAAATAAGTGTTGTGTGCCTCTATAAAGGGCTTAAAATGTCAATGTTAGGTGTATCATTGGGACCGCACGATTCCAATTTATTTTCGAAATTGAACGATAATAATAAATGAGAGCGCCCGTTACGTTTCGAATTAGGTTTCTTATTTACAAACGTTTTTCGACTTATTGAAAATTAAATTTCCTAAAAGTTTCGGCCGAAGAAATATCAGGTGAAAGGACCCCTTCTTCTCCGCCCTTCTGCTAATAAGATTGAAAGCGACTTATTTTCTTTATTGTTTCACTCGGTGCTTTGTAAATTATTATTTTAAAACATTTTTTATGAAGCTCATTGATGATTTTTGATGAATTGCGCTGTTTTGGGCTTAAATTCTGATAACAGGTATGAATTTCGGAAAAAATAGTTGCTTAATGACGCGACCGGCCATTTTTAATGACCATTGATGAATTAAACGGATTAAAAACTGACAGGAAATGAAAATGGAAACTAATTGCTCGGTGGATTATAATGGATACAACGGTGATATTGCGACAAAAATTCCACATTAATATGTATAGTATCGTGCCCGTACGAAAAAATATTGCCGTTCGGGACTATACAGGAATTTTCTATACACCAATGATAAATTGTTTTCTATTGTTTTATGATAAAAGCTGTATAAATTATACCGCTTAGAGGCGGAAAAAGTCGATAACATATTTATACAAAAACGTTCGGTCTTTACGCCACAATAGGAGAAAAATCGTGTCATTAATCAACATCTTCTTCGGGATTTTATACAATGACTTCAAAAAATCTTCATTACCTCAAAGATCAAATAGCCCAATTAGGTACCCGGGATTGACATTAATATCAATTAATTAAGAAATTAAAAGAATTAAATTCCCCACACGGTAACGTTTTTTGTGTTTGTTGTTCGAGGACGTTCGTTCGTTTCGTGACAAGAGAATCTAATTTCGGTTTTGGTATTTAATGAGTTTTAATCGATTTTATGGTTGTTTTCGAAACGAACGCTGTTTCGCTTTTATTTTATAATTTTTTACCCTCTGATGGATAATTGACTCTTTATTGTTTGTTTTTAATATATACACTGCATAGCCGTGTATTGTTTCCAGAAAATATGCATAACTATATGCCTAATTTACTGAAATTTTGCTCTAATATAGTACACAATTTTGAATAACGTTATTACCTATACTTTTTATTGAAACTTGTCCACCCCATACAGTTTTCTGTAGAAAAATACACCTACACCATAACACCAATTACTTATCTGAAGGATAGGTAGTTTTTTCTCCCGAATCCGCCGGAGGATTCCTGCACAACGTCGCCCCGAACGCCGATGAATGGGTCAGCAATTTTTCGTAAAATCGTCGAAATCGCCGTCGATCCCTAGGAGATTAGTCCCCGTTTTTTTGCGTCCTCGACTGGACTTAACCCCCGACCCTAATCAGCGACACGCAAGGGGTTAGGTTTCAATCATCTAGACTGGCGTAATGCCGCAAAGGGTGCGCGCCCGATCGCCTACGTAAATCGAAAGCAATTAGCGGAGAGGATCCGGTGTGTAGCCGGATAGCGTCCGGAGGATCCGGGGTATCCGGAGTGGCGCCTTTTGCGACAAACTGCCCGATCGTCACGGAATGCAAAAAGCCCTTTGGACTCCGGGGAGAGCATGAAACAGATGTAGAAACGAAATGGTGGAACGCATACGAGCCGAGTATTCGTCTAAACCGCTAGGTAATTGGAGGAAAATGTTAATGAAATTTGTAATGGGAATTTCAAGTTTAGAGTGCTTTCAATTTTTTTTTTAATTTTTTTCTTTTTTGCTAAGGGATAAATATTTCAAATGTTATTAAATAATGTTGGTTCTCTTCTTTTGACCAGAATAATTACTTCATAGACCAGATGAATCCATCCATTCCAGTAAGTGAATTAAAACTCGAAATTTAATATTTAAATGATATTTTATTACACATACTATTTACAAGTAATTTTCAGTATTCGTAATTATCGGAAATGTCGGATTCAAGCTATACAGATGGGTTTACAGTCTAATTAGATTCATAACAGTCTCTAGAATAATCAACGAATTCGGGATGGAAATTAAAATTAATAATAAATTTATACAGAGCGTTCCATTGTTAACAGGAATAAAGTTTAATTGTAAATAGGGTCATCACGTGTAATTTCTTATTTATCTCTTTCTAAAATCAGCTTTATCGCTTTATTGGGACACCCTGTATATATCTTATTAAGACCCTTATCAACAATTTAAAAATTTTATACATTATCTAATAAATGAAGCACTCTGTATGTACAGTACATTTTTTTTTTATTCTTTCAGTACTGAAGAAATAAATTTCAATTTTACCTTCTATAGTAAACAGGAAACAATTTCCCTCGTATATTTCGGGCTGCACAAAGTAAAATAACCCTATGTATTGTTCGTTTTTGCAGATTTTCAAATAGGAGTAATTTTAAATCGCTATAAAACAGTATTTCACCGAAGAGAAGAAGAAAAGCCGTTTTCCTCTGCGGCATCTAGTCGGAAAATATATATTTCCTAATTTCGCGCTAAATAAATAAATTATTCCGTTCAATTTAAAAGCTCTCGACTGTAATTAGAGCGGCCGGGCAAAAAATCGAAACTAATTAATTACCTACGTTAGGAAAAACAGCTTTTCTTCGTTTAACAATCGCCCATCTTCTACACACGAAACATGTTAGAAAAACACCGAAACGTTATTTGCAATATTTGCTGTATAGGGTGAAAAATTTGCCAGGGATTCCGTCTACAAAGTTTATACTCGAAACATAAACGAAATAATTTCAATTGACGCATCAGCAGAAACAACTAGCGGAAAGAAACTGCGCAATTAAAGTCGCGCAGATCGCGTCTCCAGTTACCCCTGTCCCTCTGTACCTCTATAAAAGTTTTTCATAAGACCATCTCTAATAAACTCGCCTCGAACAAGAGAATAAGGATATTATAGTTTGTTTGTCTCGTTCTAAATTTCTATCCCGGCTGGATGTTTTGATCGCCGGGAAAACTGGGACACGTGCATTTCGGGAACAACTACAAAAATTCGCCGGCATTCGAAACGAAAACAACGTAATGGGAAATTATGAATAGCGCTTCAAAGCGAAGAGGAAATTCATTAGCATAATTCAAAATTTTAATGCACTGAAAACCCCTAACTTTTTCGCCACATTATCCGGAGTATGTACAGGGTGTTTCTGGAAAACGTGGCAATTCTATAGAGTTAGATTATTTTAAAAAGCCCTGAAGATGATGGTATTTTAATAAGTCATGTTTTGGTCTGATTCTTTCTTATGGGATAAAAATCTTATAAAAAATTAATTTCGAATCACCCTGTATATCGACTAATTAGTAAGGAAATAATTTGCCAATTAGAAATATTAATGGAAGGAATATAAACACGGGAATTCTTTATGTAATTGGTTCGTATTTGCATCTGGACAGAAAGGCCCAAAACCACCTTAATTGGTTTGTTTATATAGGATGTCCCAATAATGGGTAAAGCTCATTTGCTCTGGTATTAAAAAACAACTTTAAAATAGTACCTAACAATTTATAAATTCTGTTTTTACAACAGCTCTAAAAGCGTAATAAATTTCAGAATGGTCCAGAGTAGTTTTAAACTATTAATAGCTCCGATTATTAGGGATAATCGATTTAATCCTAATCTTGATAATAACTTGTATCGAGTATAAACCAGTAAAACGTCCATTACAACATTACAGGTAGTTTCATTAGCTTCTTTCATAGTAAAACATTGAAAATAGTAACGATTTTTTTATCTACAATAACGTAAAAAACACACAACAATAGAAAACGTACATAAAAACGCTAGTGTATGTACAGGGTGTCCACATTTGGGAACTTTTAATTTTTATTTATTGTGTTTTTTGAATTAGATATTTATAATTTTGTTTTTTTTTTGTGTTTTTTTAATCATTTGCCTAAACATTTAAAATCTTCAAACTTCAATAAAAAATATACTTAAAAACTTTTTTTCTTTAGTAATCAAATGACGCATAAAGAGTATGGACCACCACAGTAATCCAATTCAACAAACCCAATTATGGAAAACCCTGTATAGTAAAAACTTATCAAACCTATTTAATATACAAAATATAATCCAATTTAAATATATGTAAATGCATCTGGTAGGTATATAAAAATTCAAAATCATAAAATTTCAACAAGTAATAACCTCACAGTGGAAACGCAGCGGCAGAATCAAAAAAGGGCCGTTAGTAACGTATAACCACACAAAAATCGATATTTCTATCCCATCAATAATAATCGATTAATCCAGTTAAAATTAGCCGAACAAAGTAAATCCACAAACCCCGGAGCCGAAAAACCTAGCACAGTGAAAGCTCCCGAATATTAAAATGAAAAATTCGTATTATCATATTCCCGGAACATGCGACACAGATACTATCCTCGTTTAATTAATGAATTGACTTAATTAGAGAAAATTGATATTTCTCAGTGTCCGCCGCCGCGGATGATTAATATGAAAAATTTCTCGGAAAAAATATGCGATAGCCACCGCGCCGTGATGGAACCGGAATTAAGCTTGAAATTGGACTAATAATTATTTTCGTATAGAAAAATATGGGGTAATTCTCTCCTTAATTTGTTCTGGGTAGGCTACAAAATCATGTTTATTAAGGAGAATGAGTATTTTGGTCAATTCAATGAATAGTATGGTTGTTTTGAGCATTCTAATGAATAATTTTGGTTCTTTTACAAATAATTTTTGATGTTAAGTATTAAATACAACTAATTTTAATAGGGGAATTTTAAATTTTAAATGGGAATGTCCACTATGCCTGCCAACAAAAACCCTCCTGCCTAATTATATTGGTTCATTATTAAAAATTACCCATTTAATTATCCCTGTGACAAAGCTACCGTTAAATTCGTTTCGTCCTATTTCTGGCATCTTCGTCCGTAAATTATTAATGAATTTATACAATTCTAAAAGTTATAAATTAGAGTTACGAACTACCATTAAATCGACATTATAATTTCATGTATTTAGCAACCCGTTAACCCATTTTCGACGGCAGTATAGTGACTATTACGCCCCGCTCTTACTAATATACAACTCGAATTTATAGGTATTACGGCGAATACAAGATTAGTTAAATGGGATATAAAAGAAGTTACCTCGTACACATCATTGGGCAAATACTAGGTATTAAAGGGGAAGAGGAAAAACGGGGCGCTTTTAAAATAATTGTCAGTCATAAGTTTAGCTGGAAACGCTATTAAATTCGCGATAAAGATGACTTAGTAATGTTGGTAAATGCAAACGGTTTCTTGTATATGTAAATCTTTAATATTTGTTTAAAAAATAGTTCTAAGTTCGAAAGAGAAATCAGAAAACTTCAGATGAATTACATATAAATAAAGTGAATTCTTATACGCATAAAATTTTACTATTTACAATAAAATTCATTAATTATGTATGTACAATACTCTTTAAGTAAACGCATTCTAAGACGGTCGTAAAGAAAACATTTCGATTTGACTTGTTCATTAATTTCGCAAAGTATACTTCATTCAATTTGCTGATTCCCCCTTTCCAGTAATTAATTGTTAAATTTCGTACACGCTCGAATTACCCGACATTTACATTTCGATCAACATTCGATATCGCTTTCGAGTTTTGGCCGAATAATTTGTTAATTAAAAAGTAGTTTTCGAAATCGAATATCAACAACAACGTATTTTGAAACTTCCAAAGTTACATGGGCTTGGTTGTTATTCGAAATTGAATAGTTGTGTGATAAATTTGGAACGTCTATATCAAACGTTAATTATATAGCCGGATATTATAAAAATAAAGGCATTTTTAATTAACGAATATTTTGCAAAAGTATTTCGAGAATTTGCCGTTTATAGCTATTTATTAGTGACTGAAAGTTGCACCACTCAATACGTTATTAATTAATTGGGAACTTTATATAAAACACTTCAAATAAATTGTTCAGCAACACGGAATTCCGAATTAACGTACTAAATTTTATTGAAACGGTTCTGATAATTTACATTGCTTTGTTCCGCAATGCATTCATTAATTAAGTTTCCATTCTACCTAACTTTCATTCCACCGCGTTTCCACTACAAAAAAAAGAGTAAAACCAGCGACAAAATATAGTGAAATTACTTACAGGAGACACAAATCAACATATTGATGTGAGCAAAGGCACTAATTGAAGATTTCAACCACAGGGAGAGGGTTAGAGAGAGACGAACTCCGGCGTCAACCGGACGCCGAGGGGAGGCGGCGGCGGCGGCGGCGGCAACTCCGTCACCGCCGGCGCGGCCGAGGCGTCGGGCAGCGACAGCGTCGAGCTGCCGCCCGCCGTCACCCTGGGTCCCATGTTGTCGTAGTGCGGTACGGCGTAGGGCCGTCTGGGCAGCGTCGCCATGCCGTGATAGACGTGCTGCTTCGGCCGGTGCGGCAGGTCCAGGAGATCCGGACACCGCGCGGCGTCGACGATGGGATCTCTCGGGTCCCGGCTCACCGATACCGATATGAAAATGTTGCCGTAAGCGCCGGCGGGCAGGCCGCTACCGGAAAACTCCGGCGGTGGAGGGTACACCGCCAGCGGAGGCAGCGGCGGTTCCCTTTCGATGGTGATGTGCACCGGCGGATCCATCATATCCATATCAGGACCTAGGGCTTCGCAACTGCCCGTACCTCTGTCGGTCGTCGTGGCTATGCTGACGTCGAGCAGCTTCTTCTCTTGGTCGGTGAAGCTGACGCTGGCCTTGAGGTTCCTTTGGCCGGCGCTTCGATTCCGGACGCAGCACACCGCAATCACTGTCACCAAGCCGGAGAATCCCACCGCGATCGACACGACCACCACGCCCCACCACACCATCTTCGAGTCCGATTTGCTCAGCGTCGTCGCCGTCACCACCTCGGGAAGCACTAAACTCACGTTGACGGCGGTCGAATCGAGGACGTTCCTGGCGACGCAGGTGTACCGGCCGACGTCCGCGTCGCTCACGTTGTAGATGCTTATGTTGGTCCATTTGTCGAGGACGCCTTCCTCGGCTTCGACCACCAGCCAGGTGTGGTTGAGCGGGCTGCCGTCGTAGAGCCAGAAGACCTGGGGCTCCGGGTCGCCGAGCACGTGGCAACCGAAGCTGACGTTGCCGCCCGCCTCGGCCTGCACTTGGTTCTGGGGGTAGGCGAACACCTTCGGCGGGCAGGCGAACTCCTCGGAGGACACGTCCTTCCACTGGCGGTTTTTGAGCGCCTCCGGCTCGGAGCAACGCAGCGACATCGAGCGCAGTATGCTGGCCAGGAACCAATCTCTGAAACCGCGCAAATCGCAGTCGCACCTCCACGGGTTGCCGTCGAGGGCGAGCGTCGTCAGATGGGCGAAGTTCATGAACGTCGGCTCCGACAGGCTGGTTAACGAGTTATTTTTCAAATTCAATGTGGCTAGGGCGTTCAAATGAACGAACGCCTCTCTATCGATGGCTTCCAGCTGGCAATTTTCTAATTCTAGCGTCCGCAGGTGAGGCAACGCGGGGAATTGAGCTCGGCTGAGCCGTCTAAGCGGATTACCGTTCAGGTAGAGGAAACGCAATCGCTCGTTGCCGCGGAACGTTTCCGGATCCAACGACGCGATATTATTATAAGATAAATCTATTTCTATCAGTATAATTAAGTCCTTGAACGCGTCCCGGTGTATCTTAACCAAACCGGCGCGCGACAGGTGGATCCTCTGCAGGTTGATCAGCCCCACTGACTTGAACGCCGAATTGGGCAGCTCGGCGATGGTGTTCCCGGAGAGATCGAGCACCTGCATGCCCTCGTCCAAGGCGGGAATGCCGGCGAAGCCGGCCTTCTGGCACATCGCCGTCTTCTTGCCGGAGCTCCAGGTGCACCGGCAGGGGCCGGGGCAATCGGTCCAGTCCGGAGCGGCGACGGCCAGAGCCAACGCGAAGACGACCAGCGGCACCGTCGCTGCCATGCCTGGTCATCTCGAGACGAGCACCACGTCGAAGCACATGACGGGAACGCGCGGACTGTTACTGTTCGGGTAATCGGCGCCGGAAAACGCGGAAGCGCCGCGCGTGCAACGAGGTCGGCCGCGCCGGGTTGAGTTATTTTCGATATTGCGACGTGTTCGGACGCGATGCGATCGAGCTGAGGGGCTCGGCGTGTTCGCTCGAACTCGGTTCACCGCACTATGATAGTCGTCCGCAGCTTTTGCGGGTCGGCGAGTTGTTGCGTCGGCGTCGGCGTCGGTGTGTTCGAAAGATGCGCCGCCCGGCCCTATGCAGCAAAGGACCTGCTGCTTCTGTCGCCTCTCGACGATTAATGTCGTGATTTTCGACGGATTTTTATAACTGATTCGATATTATTTTTCGCGATTTGCGGCTAGCGGTTCGATATTTCGCGGTCGAAGACGTCGTTGCGCTCGAAAGCGATGGGGACGGTTCGAACGGTTAGGGATGATATAGAGGAATTGCCGTCGGTCGATGCTGCTGCGGGTTCTAAATGATCGGAAATGATCGAATATGGGATAGAAGAAAATTCGTAGTCGCTTTAAAAATCATAAGGGTGATGAGTGATCGCTTTAGTTCAAAATATTTTCGAAAAACGATGAGTCGGGAACTTCGATATTTATGAAATTATTTGAAAGTTTTCTGGTACAAAATGAAATAGATAGGAAGTTAGCATATTCAGGGACGGATGGGCCTGTGGGGAATTTGCGAGATTTCCCGAAGGGTATGTTACTAATGGGCTCGTACGATCCTGTGTTGTATAACATGAAATATAGCTTTTTGAAAAATGTATGGATTTAGTCTTGTTGGTAATAATTCTAAAAAATTTTAAAAACTTAAATCTAAATAACATTTCAGATACATATTTAATGCTACACTTTCTAACTGGAAATTGTGTTGGAAGTTGTAAGTTTATTTTATAACTTTCTGAATTTTCTGAATCCTCTCAGCTGCGGCAATATTCCGACTTTTCACGATGGGTCCCTAATAATCGAAGAATGGCAACCCATTTCATATTTTTTATTTATTACTGTGAAACTACTCAAGCTAAAAATCTCGTTTATGTTTCAATTTATAAGAAAAACTTTATTCCGCAACTTTCCAATTTATTGCATTTCCCGAAAACTCCTTCAGTTTCGACAATATTTCGATTTTTCACGTTCCTGCCCTAATAATCAAAAAATAGTGGCCCATTTTATATTTTCATCCATAACTCCGCAACTACTGTCATAAACTCCATTTTTATTGCTTTTTATAGAGGAAACTTCGCTCTCCAACTTTCCGATTTACTTCATTTTCCTAACTCTTTTGGCTTCGACTATATTTTGAATTTTCATAGAAATTCCTCGAAAAAATTATATTAATATTATAGTTTATTACTTTGAATCCATAAATGTAAAATGTATTTTGCATTAAATCAAACAAGAGATATCTTATTTTTTTAATTTGTATCTAAAAGGTCTTGAACCTATCTTTAAAATAAGTTTTGATTGGGTTTCATTAACAGAAAACAATTACCATTAACATTGTACTTTGTACAACAGTAAGGTTAAATTAAGGAAGATTAATGTAGTATCAAATACCAATAAATTAGTTGATCCTGTTAATGTCCTGAGTAATCAATACTCACCTCAGGAAACGCAATTTATTATACCTAGTGTTTTATAATTTATACAAAAGCACAAAAATTTATAAACCAAACTTTTATATTACAAAAAAAATATAATGCAATAAGGTAAAAAGCAAACCTTCAGCTTACCATACTCAATTACAACTAAACAATAAATTATACATACAGTTAATTAACTTAAATTATTTTTAGACTTTCATGTTAGGTTTTCTGATGTGATGATAATTCGGCAACATCTTCGCCAATGTTTCCATTTGCAAAGTTTGCAGCTGTAAAAATAAATCGAGTATACATTACTGAACTTAGTCAAAATAATCTATCTTACTGGAGGTTTATCTAATCCTTCCCTCATCTGGCATTTCGATCCAAAAATTATAATATTCTCCTTAAGAATCTGCTCTTCCGTGATTTTACAACCAGCGCCGATCGTACACCCATTTGATACCGTTACTCTATTTCCCACAAAACATTTCGGTTCAAATACATTGTTATTCCCTATTTTTGGAGATTCTATAGAGCAATCGACTTCGAATACATTGTATGATCCTATAATGAGAACGGGCGTGTTTTCCTTGTCTTTTTGATCGAAGGGCAACCTGTGAACGATTCTCACTTGCTCCTCTATTAAACAGTTCTCTCCGATTATAATTGGCCCGGCTTCAGCTATAATTGTTGCTCCAGGATGAATTATAGTGCCCGAACCGATTGTAATGTCTCCTCTTAACTTGGCCTCTTCGCAAACTATAGAGCCTGGATATATTTTTATGCTGAAAATAATTAGTTTATATTTAATTGTGATAATGAACGTACTAAAATGTACCTGTTTCTCGACATTTTAGGAATTAAATATTTGCATACAAAATAGTTGTAAATTAAGTAAACATTAATAATGACATTACTGACATTTTTGAATTTTGAGGTTAACAATGTGAAAATTTTTTATGTAGAAAGAAGAGTAATAAAAAGTTGACTTAATAATCAAAGCAGCTAAGACCAAAAACTAGCATTGATTAAAAGTGGTTTGTTGACTATGAGCAAAAGGCTAGATTTGTAGAAGAATTTATGTAAAAATATAACATAATAATAATAAATTAATATCTAGGAGAATATAAAATAGAATTTTTGTGTATGTGAGTTTTTTTTCCTAAATGAAAGGATATATTATACAAAAAGAAAAGATTTTGTATAAAAAAGAAGATTACTTATTTTGACGTTTATGTGAAAAGAATTATTGACAAGTAAGGCATTTCTCACGTTTTCTGTCATTTAAAAATGGCTAGTGCCCGAAGTCTATTTGGAATTTTGAATACAAAAAATGTATTAATTTATACGCATTCACAAATAACGAACAAAATTTCGAGGAGGTTCCTTCATCAATGTTTTCAATGTAGAGATCGAATAGTTATAAGTTCCGGTAGCAGCAATAATTTAATCCAAAGTAAGATGTGTTTGAATCCTTTGAATAGTTCGATTTAATATTGCTAATAGATGAAAGATTTGTTGTTCAAGTTGTACCAATTGATTTTTAAAAACATCGGTCTAACCCAACAAATATTCAATTCTACGAATCAAAGTTCACATAACCTAACTCTTCCTTCAGATTCCATTCAGCCGAAACGGTTCATCCATTTAACCAACGTCGTCAACGCGAGGAAAGACTATTATGAAATTTTAGGCGTAGGTAGAAATGCTTCGGGTTCGGACATTAAAAAAGCCTATTATAAATTGGCCAAAAAGTACCATCCCGATGTGAATAAAGACGACCCCGAGGCGTCTAAGAAGTTCCAGGAAGTCTCAGAGGCCTACGAGGTAATTCTTCGAAGAAGAGATGTTTACGTAATTATTTGATTTTTAACATTTTGTAGATATTAGGGGATGACACTAAGCGTAAACAATACAATACATGGGGAGCTACGGCCGATCAAATGGGCGCTGGAATGGGTGGTGGAACTGGTGGAAAAAGCTACGGCCCCCAGGGCTTCAGTCAACAAGTAATTTAATATAGAAACTACAGAAGTAATAAAATATCAACTAACATTAATTACATTTTCCAGTGGGAGTACCAATCGACTATAAATCCCGAGGAATTATTTAGGAAAATATTCGGAGACGCTTTCGGCAAAAGCTCAAACAGCAATCCGTTCGAAGACTTTGCCGAATCTAATTACGGTTTCGGGGAAGCCCAAGAGGTGATATTTAACACAGTTATAACTAAACTTATTTATTGATATAAAATAATTATTCCCTAGGTTGTATTGAGAGTGAGTTTCACTCAAGCGGCTAGAGGTACAAATAAGGACGTCAATATCAACGTAGTGGATATTTGCCAAAAGTGCAGGGGTTCCAGATGCGAACTGGGTACTCAAGCTTCGAAATGCCAGTTCTGCAACGGTACCGGCATGGAAACAATATCTACAGGACCGTTTGTGATGAGATCCACTTGCAGGTATGATTGATTTTTCATAAGGTAATAGAATTGTTGATTATAATTGATTCCATAGATACTGCCAGGGGTCTAGGATGTACATAAAACACAAATGCACCGAATGCCATGGTAAAGGTTCCACAGTTCAAAGGAAGAAAGTTACCATTCCCGTACCGGCCGGTATCGAAGATGGACAAACCGTTCGAATGTCTGTGGGAAACAAGGAGCTCTTCGTCACTTTCCGCGTGGAGAAATCCGATTATTTCAAACGGGACGGGCCCGATGTTCACACAGAGGCGGAAATTTCGATTGCGCAGGCGCTCCTAGGCGGTACGATTAGGATACAAGGGTTGTACGAAGATCACACTATTCAGGTTAGAATCCGGATAATCGGAATTTATATCAACTGATATTTCACTTGAATTTGTAGATTATACCGGGCACTTCTTCTCACACAAGAATCCGTCTGAGCGGCAAAGGGTTGAAGAGAGTGAATGGTTACGGTCATGGGGATCATTACGTGTTGTTCAAAATCATCGTACCGAAGCACTTGAACCAGAAACAGAAAGCTTTAGCAATGGCTTATGCGGAATTGGAAGCCGACACGCCGGGCACCATTATGGGAATTACGCTCAAGAAAGACGGTAAGCGAACTAACTTGGGTGATTTTTATTGATGAATGTTTCCTCTGGGTTTAAATGTGTTTTAGCAAAATTTTGTAATGTGTTTCTAATTGTACGATTTGTTGTTTTGACTGGTGTTTTTTTGTTTGACAGGAGCAAATGAGGAAGAAATGCCATTTGCAGGCTCTGAAGAAAAAACCCAAATGAAACATTCTGAGGAGAATCCGGGGCTTTTGACAAAAATTAAGAAAGCCTTGTTTGGTTAAAACCTTATTAGATTAATCGATAGAATTATTGCATAAAAACGTGTGATACATATTTAGGGTAATTAATATATTGAAGTTGTTTTTGAACTTGTAGGTAGCAAAATGTTTACTGCAAACGAAAAAGTAGATCTTTTAGATGCGATTCGCTCGGCTTTAGAAGGTAAGGAAAGTACGGATAAAAAAACTAACGTTGATTTACTGACCGATAGGAAAGAAAGCGTACAACAAGTAGAGAATAGCGAAAAGTCCAAAGAAAATTCGAATAAGAGTAGCGGTAAAAATGGAAACAACGAGCCGGAGAGCGACGGCGAAATTGCAAAAATGAAAACTAAAAATTGAAAAACATGTTGAAAATTCTCCTTAGTAAACGAAAGGTTTAAATTTTTTTATTGAATTGTTACTTGCGTTGTAAGTGTTGATGTAATACAACCCTATCGAGAAATGACTTGGCATTTCATTAAAAGTTCAATAAGGCTCTTAAAATAGCTTTTATTCATCAATAACATTTAGTAATAAATAATCTTTATAATAAAGGAATGTTTTTTACAAAAGGAATTGAATAATATGGAGTAATTATAAATAACGGTTAAATCGAGACAATTTGATATCATAACGAATATAAATTTCATGGTATAAATGTCGATGTCGAATTAACAAAAAGAAGTAACAATGCCGGCGTTTTCTTTTTGTAAATTTTATCTATAATAGTGAGTAAAATGGTACACATTTTCCTCATTATGTAGAGTATCGACTACCCCTATCGTTATTTTATAGATACCTCGTATATTATCCAATTTAACTTGTAGTTTTCCAAAATCAATCGAGCGTGGCGAAAAAGTCAGGTCAATGCAACAGCTTTCCCAGGCGCATTACAACGAATAAAATATACCTCGTAAAATATAAATCGTCATATAGAGGGTGTCTCATTAAAAGAACAGAGGTTCCTTATGACACACCCTGTATATATATTTTCCTCGTTCATTATATATTTTCACGCCACATCAAATCGACTTTGGAAAGAAGCAGTTTGTTCACATAACTATAAAAAAATTCTCTTCTAATCACGTATTTATCACAATCAAATCCATCATACACATAACATTCGGCTAATCGGTTAAAACATTTGCTAAATTTCCTATTAATACGAAGAATTTTCCGGCGAAAATTCTTACCAGTCTTTTCTACGGCTAAAACGAAAGTTTGTAATAACAAAAAAATGCGATATTGCGTGAATAATAGACTAATTATTTTTGACAAATTTTCATGATTCATTATTACTTCAGCTGTTCAATCGATTTTTTTTCATTTTACAAACTGCAGGTCTAAAATTCAACAATCACAATTATAATCCAAACAATTTATAAAATAATTATAGGCAATAACAGTCGAAGAAACAGCACTAAAAGAGATATCCATTGCAATCTAAATTTCGCATCGAGTGAAAATTTCAAAAAAGAAAAATCCTAAACAGGCGCGAAAGCCAAAAAATCGAACCGAACAATACAAAATTCCCTATAACTCGTCGATTGTGCATGGAAAGCGAGGTTCCCGTAAACCTAATCAGACTCGCAAAGGGCCCGGCCCCTTGACCCCGTCTCCTAGCCGGATATGTGCGCGACACGTCGCTTTGTACTCGTTAAAAAAAGGCCCGCAGAAGCGGCTTCAGGTGTTCGTCAGCAGGCCGAGTTTCAGTCCCAAGCCGACGATGCCCCTGCTGGCGGAAGTTTGCAACAGCGACACCACAGTGGCTGCCAGCGTGACGGCTATTTCTAAGTACAAGGCGTAGAACAGCCTGGTTTGGCCCTCGACGGTGGCTACGCCGCCGGCTGCGGTGAAGTCCAGCGGGAACATGAAGCAGTCCACGGGGTCCCGTTGACGGACGAAACCGAACAGAATCACTCCTGCAATTTACGGTCGTAGGTAAAAGTGGTTCAAGTTTGTCCAGCAGGAATTAACGGGACTGTTCGAATGAAAGATTAGTTGAAAAAAGTTCAAAATTCGGAACAAAGTTTTTCCTTAAATTTGCAATAGTAAGGAAGGTAACCGAGGCTTGTTCAGCAGGAATTAATGGGTTTGTTCTAATAAAAATTTGTTTGATGAAGGTATATGATTCAGAACCAAGGTATTCCTGAAATTTGTAATAAATAATATCCGAAAGATATCCGAGGCTTCTTGTTCTAATGAAAGTTTGATTGAAAAAGGTGCAAAAATCGGAACAAGATTATTTCTGCAATTTGCAATAATAAGAAATGCAACCAAGGCTCGTTCAGCAGAAATGATAGGGTTTGTACTAATAAAAGTGTGGTTAAAAATAGCAGAAGATTCAGAACAAAGTTATTCCTGTAATTTGTAATATTAAGAAAGGTAACAAAGGCTTGTTCAGCAGGAATTAATGGGTTTGTTCAAACCAAAGTTGGCTCTTGAAAGTGTATTCCAAACTAAATAAATCAGCAGGAATTTATACATTTGTTCTTGTTTCAATGAATGCTTGCTCATGAACAAGCACATTTAGCAAAAGTACATCTACAGAAGTCCTATCCTGCTAATTTCTGTGGACTCTCTTTGTCTCAGCGAAACCTTGCTTATAAACGTACACAAGCACAGAACAAATTTCTTCCTTACCAGATAAATAATAGAAGAATATGCACAAGAAGGGAAAGTACTTCAACCATTTGGGTTTGGGCGCCGACGGTACGTCCGAACATTTGTTCCTGTAAGCCAGCTGTTGCAGCCTGATGGCGCCCAGATTGCCCATGTTCAGTATCAGGAGAAAGTGCAGGGGAATGCCGATGGCGGCGAACAGCACCGCCGCCCCGCGTCCCGACGTCGTTCTCGGCACGGGAGCGCCGAAACCTGTAAATTCACTCGTTAAAAAATCCTGTTTCGCATTATAACCGAGCGGTTACCCAAAGTGGTTAAGAGGGATACAGCGAAGAGCACGCATCCCGGGTAGGTCCAGATGGTGCCGCCGCCGCCTTCGCCGAAACCCGCCCCCACCGCCTCCAAGAAGAGCTTCTCGTGCTTCTCGAAGTACTTGTGTATCAATCTCGACCACACCTCGTTGTGGTTCTCGGACTGTTTCAGATCGGTCGCCAGCTCCACCGAGAGGTCTCTTTGTATTTTCGCCACGGTTTCGGTTTGTTTTAGTTCTCGTTCACCTGCGCGCGAAAGGAAACATGTCTGTCACCAATAACATTCTTGAGAAACATCTCTCATATATGTCATTGTAAAAATGTACCTAAATATTAGAGGTTTCATTATGGTCAACAAACTCTTCGCTTTCGAAAACAAAAAGTATTTAATGCGCTGTAAAACTTTCCAATCTTTGCCTGGAAATTCTTTCCCTACAACGTTTTGAATTATTTATCGGCTGATTATGGAAGCCTACCGCACTAAGCGAGGTGGCATTGTACCGGTGTGTTTTTTTTAGCTTTTTCTGTGTTATGGTAAAATAGTTGCTAGAGAACGCAATTACAACTATACGAGTGGATCACGTAAAGGTAGGGTGGAAAATTGGAAAATCGATTGCGGTGTGTTTCGCCTAATGCGGTGTTTTTGTACCGGGTGATTATGAGTGATCGAGATTTTTTAAAGGTAGAATCGTTTAAAGGACCTTTTTAACTCGAAAAACTGGCGTTGATTACGGGTCACAGTCGTCTAAATTCCATCTATTCATTACACTATCGCACACCGCGCGGTTCTCATTATGTAATTTTATCATTAACTTTTTATATGCAACAATGTTTATTATTTCCGTTCAACCTTCGAATTCGTCGATTCAATTTAACGCGCTGGTTTGAAGATCAGGATAATAAATCACACTATATTATAGCTATTGAATGGAAAGAACAAAACTGCTCGACTTGCGTGTAAACTTTTAATATTTTCAACTAATTCCGATATAATTCGGAAAGTTTTTCAAACGCGCATTGCAGATACGACGAATCTGCATAATAAATAAATGTGTAGGGTAATTCCTGCGATTCCGGTATTAATATTACCTAAGGAAGTATCTATAGAAACTAGAGTAATTAATGTAACATATTCCTTATTACCATGTTGTTGTTTTTTCCTGATTACATTCCTGTCGCTCGACAGTACAGTATTCAGGAAATTTATGTTGTATACTCTGACTTACCCTCGGTGTAATAAAAAGCGCAAGCGCCCAGCAGCGCCCAAATGACCACGACGACGGTCAGCCCGACCTGGGAGAGCGCCCACTGGCCGAATATCCTGCAGCAGCAGCCCAACTTCAGGGCGCAATTCCTCTCCGACGGGCTCAATTTGACGTCGCACCGGAGGCCCGGGACGAAGCGCAGCCGGTAAGGCACCAGGTGGAGCGTCTGGACGGAGGCGTCGAGCTTCCTGTTCTTGATGTTCTGCTCTTTGGTCATCTGGTCGACGTCGATCGTGGTGGCGTCGCCGTTCTCCGTGCCGCGCATTTTCCCTATCGGCGGTTCTTTAATGAATAAATTTTCCTTCGCTTATCGCCGGCGTGCCGGCGGGTTATCTCTAAAGGTACTCGTGATGGTTAGGAATCCCGGAAGGTTTCAATTTGGGAGTTATTTGTGAGGAGTATAAAAACTAATTCTAATTCAAAATAATTGGACGTTACGTATTTGAAAATGTCCAATAATTTTTCTATTCATCATTTTTTATTGTATCCGTTATAATGGCGAAGTAAATGATGTTTATTTCGGGAAACACACAAAAGTTTCATTGATTATTAAATTAGGGTAAAAATGTGAGCAAATTTAGTTACCTATAAATGGGTTGTATCGATCCGATTAAATTGAACTTAGTACATTACAGAATAAAGGTTCGTTTACCCTATACTTTTACTAAATTCATTGAAACAACATTCTGCATATGGAAATTGTCATATTTTACCTTTTCGAGGAATGTTTTCCGTTAAAAACACTGTATAAAACTAGTTTGTAAACATTAGACAAAGAAAAATATATAGAGAAGCATTGAATTTCTTTAGCAATTAATCCGTATATCTCATAATTAATTTAATATCTAGCGAAATAGATTGGTATTTTCTACGATAGAACCACGTGAACAACATTTAAACAGATACCTATATTTACCTGTTATCGCTCTGCTGAAATTCGATCCCACACGACTAAAATTTTATTAATTTTACATAACAACGCCGCGAATTTTCCGAATCGAATTCGAGAGGTTTTTCAATCGCGGTCCCACCATTATCGCCTCTTTCGTACGCCGCTTATTTTGTCGAATTTAATTTCCTTTTCTTTCACAGCGTCACGTTCATTTCGGTGCGAGTTCGCTCGTTCGACTGGCCATAGAAAAATACCATTACAATCGGAACCGATGGTACTAAGCCAGTACAAGGCGGGTACCTAGTAAACAAACGTCACGTGCGAAATCCAGTGATTTATTCGGCTGGAATTTTATGATCTGCTAATCTGAAATTCGTCGCTAATAATTTTCTATCTGAATTTTAGTGCGGATGAGTTTTTATTTATTAATAAGGTAGCGCATCCGGCGCGGGGGCAAGTGGGGCGGATGATTCTTTGATATAATGAAGATTTTAGCAAATTTTTTCCTAAAATATGGATGACACGTTGATTATATATTTTTAATAATAAAAAGATAATATTTGCAGTATCAATTAAAATTCCATTAAAAGCATTTTATCTTATTAACAATGCGAGATAATTAATTGTGAGAAAAACAGCAGTAGGCTTAAAATATGCAATTTTTTACAGGCAGTGTAACGTTGAGGGGGCTCCTATACTCCCCCTTTTAAGAATCAAATGTACATGAATGAAGCATTTGAATTAAAAAATTATTAAAGCTAAAACGCGCTGCTGATATCTAGCATTAAAATTCGATTTGTAATATAAAACCCGCTCGTTATGCCATATCCATCAAACGTCACGACATTTACTTTGTACTTTAATAATTAGCGCTATCAGAACTCGCTCCTTTCCGGAATCAATATTTATTTTTACGCGAATTGCGAAAAAAATAACTTTGTTCAGTTTATTTACGACACGACGGTAATGAGCAATTCAAATGCGGACATAAAAAAATTACCACCGATTTTGATTTTATTTTTTTGCAATAGTTCGCAACTGCAAGTTCCATGATTCATTAACAATGACACAATCTAATATTCAATAATTATTGAATGTCTAAGAATGTGTGTGAAGTTGTGAAGCAAATGTAACTCGTAAAATCGACGCTAACCTCACATAAATAGTCTAAAAACTGTTATAGAATGTCTAAAAACTGCCTTAACTAGTTAGTCAATTGAATGCCTGTAAATTGTCCGTAGTTCATTAAATGTCTAAGAACTAGTCAATTGAATGTCTAAAAGGCTGTCACGAGTCCTTTAAAGCCTACGAAAGTGGTCTTAACTAGTCCATAAAATGACTAAGAACTGCCTTAGCTAGTCAATTGAATCTCCAATAACTATTTTTTCGAATCAATACAATTAGTCCGACCTACATGTCAATAAATAAGAGGTCTTTGAGAATCAATGTCTCAAGGACTCAATGGACTTACGGTCACCATAAATAGAATCAGTGAGTGATCGTCAAGAAAATGTACCTTCGTGTGAATCCCGGCGGGGCGGTTTTCCGTGCTTGCGGGCGGGTTTTCCGGGCGGCGGGGAGTCCTCATCGATGGAAAACTCATCGACGGGTAGTCTGGTGGGCTCGATAATCGTCGTTGTGACACATCGATCGAGCACCGGCTCGTACATGGTCGACCTGATGACCTGGAAAAACTCCTCAGGTTAATGGGACGGCCGAATGCACCGGCTCTACGGAATGCATTTCGCTAATAAATCGGAAAGTTCGCCCTTTCTCGGCGTCGCTTTTCAATTAGGTAATCAACTAGATGGAATTGAACCGGGGGGTGTTTTTTTACCTTGATGTCGCTGCGATAGTCGAACAAGAAGTTGGAGGATATTAGGAATTTATGGACGTGACGGTGTTTGCCTGGAGTTTTTAATGTGTTTTCGTCATGCTTGAGCTTTTCTGAAACGCGAAGAGTTATTCGGAAAATATACGTGTTTAGTAGTTTCGTTGTAAAGCCGGCTTACCTGGAAAAGCCGAGCTTGCGTTGTTGTTGTTGTTATTAAGCTCAGGAATGGGTGGAGAAGCTTTCATTCTTATTACGCATTTTCGATTATATTCGAGGCTAATCAATGCTCCAAAAATCACTGAAACTATTTAAATAGAATAGAGCTATAAACGAAACCGTTTAAAATAAAATGAGTAGTCACGCTAGTGATAAATCCGATTTAATTGGAGGAAGAATATTTTAACTTTCTGTGAAAATTATTCATTACAAGCTAGCCGTTCGAAAAAAGCTATTTATATTTATGTATTTTTTATTACACTTTTCATTTTTGGCACGCAGAACATTTTACAACTAATTATATCGTTTTAGTTGCCGCACCGAAAGTGTAATTGTACATCGGAATTTTCAAATTGTCGCCCTTGAATTTCGATTTTCCTCACCTACTCTATCACCTCCAAAATTACAACGATCAAATATTTTAATAATACAGCCGTAGATAATAATTTATGCAATTCCTGCACATTAAATCAAAATTCTCTGTATTTTTTTCCATCGAATATTTCCCAAAAACCAATCGCCGATTCACTTTAAACACCTTTTATCTAGCATATATTTCTCAAGTTCCGATTAAAACATATTTTTTTCTAAATAAATATTCGCAACCAACCTTACGAAAGCGACGGGCGCGAAACGAGCGATCTCTGCGGCATCGTCCGCACCGACGGTCGTCTGGACGGACTAGACGTTGCGTCGCGACGCTCTATTTGAATGGACTGGCGCCCTTCCGAACGGCGTTCGTGACGGCGACGCTCCAAAGAGGTGGGGAGTTCCTTGTACAAAATGAAATTCCATCAGATTTACCAGACGTCGAGCTCGCGCAGCGAGCGACACCCAGCTGTAACTAAAAAGTTATGTATCTAGAACTATTTAGAACGTTCTAAAATCATTTGGGACTGTCTAGAACTGTTTAGGAGGCTTCAAAAGCATTTAGAACAATTAAGGACATTCCAGATTCATTTAGAACTCTATATGTAGAACCATTTATAACGCTCCAAAATCATTTGGAACTGTCTGAAACCATTTAGGACAATCCAGAATGATTTAGAACTATTTGGAACCATTTAGAACACTCCAACTCTATTTAGAACTATCCAGAATCATTTAGAATTGTCTAGAACCATTTAGAACGGTCTAGACTCATTTAAAATGCTCCAAATAATTAAAAATTTATTAATTTTGTGATTCTTAAGTTTGTTTAATCAATATTTCTAGTTAAAAACAAATCAAATTCAATTTTTGGACTAACCTCAGCCCTAATTAATGTTTCGATGTGCTCTAATAAAATCAATTGCTCGTTATATTCATGATCAATTAATTGGATAGTGGAAAAAATTTAATTATAAATGTACCATTTACGAAATTAGAAATCCCGGCCGGCGAGTTTGGGATTTGTATTTTTAGTAATGCGACTGCCGGGGTGCGCCTGAATACAATCTGAAGCCTTAAACGGTGACACCCTAAACCTAGTTCCATTAAGGGCAGAGGATAAAACGCATTAATTTTCACGAAAATAGAACGCCGCCCTCGCGATATTTTCGACACGATATCGATATTGTTAAAATGAGGCGCATTTAAAAGTATTAGAAGATAAATTGGACAAATCATAAGTGTAGGAAATACAAATGAGTGTCAAAATTTATTTAACAAAATCCATTTTTTTCTCAACGAGAACGTAGGACACCTTTTTACAAACTTAAAATACCGGTACATTGAAAACAACATAAATCTCGAAAAATTGAAATAAAAAAAATTGTTTACTCTTAACAATTATTTCCTATAGGTTTAATCAGTACGCAAATTTAATCATTTGAAATAATGATATTTTTCTATATAAACGCAGTTCTTTATACACCTATCTCACATAAAATAGAGAACCATCAACAAGCATTTCGTCACTTTTTCACCCCGTTCGATAACTCTTTCGAACCGTTATCTTTAGTCTGGATATTTGTCTCGCGCTTCATCACAACCCTCGCGGATTTCAACAGCTTTTTACTGGTTTCCTCAACCTTTTTAGCGACCTTCTTATCTTTCTCATCGCATTCGCCATTGCCATCCCGGCCCGTTACCGATCCGTTCATCAGCCCGTTGGCCTGACCGTTGTCGATCTTAAGCGGATCCTCCGGCTCGACTTCGGTCACCTCCAGCGGGTCCACCGGGTCATTTGCAGCGCTCCTGCTATCGCACTCCGATTCGTTATCGTCCGGTATCGTTATGCATTCGGAGGTGACGCTTTGCAGGGCGGAAAACGATTTAACCCTCAAAAAACCGCCCTTGGTTTGTTTGTTAGTCTCCTCCGAAGAGGCGGTTTTCTTCCTGGCTATGCGAGCGATTTTAGTGCAAGATGCGACGTTGGAGGCGGTATTCGAGTCACCAGATGGGGTGGAAATTGGGGATTTTTTTAACAGAGAAATCGATGGCGGTAAGGTGATTTTGTTGTTCGTCGCGACGACTGACACCAGCGGCGGGGGATCGTCCGATACTATAATCACATCATCGTCGTTCTCTTTAGATGTAGATGGCGCCACCACCGACTTGGCGGGAAACCGAATGTTTTTGATACCTAAAAATCAAACAACCGGATAAGCACACATTCCCTATCTCCAATCACTCCTCAAACCCTACCTGCTATAAACTCCGTCCGCAAATTCTTCCTGATCTGTATCAACGAATTGATCGAGCTGCTCAGTATCTCCTGCAATCGATTGTGCACGACGGCCAGCCCTTCGATGCTCGTCGCGTTCGATTGCGCCCTGTTCAGCTGCGTCAGCGTGTAGGAGAGATTCGAATTGACGCGGGCGGCGGCCCGCACCGTCTTCTCGAACCACTCGTGCTTCATGGCGATCGCCGCCCCCGGCACTATGCCCGAATTGGGGCGCGCGGCCCGAACGGGAGCGGTACCGCCCGCGTTACCGGCGCCCGATATGCGGATGCCCGGCGGCAATCTCACCGTGTTTTTGAGAGCTGGAACACGATAGAATTAGATTAGATTATTCAAATATTCTGAGACAATCAAATAAATGCATGAGATACTGGTCTCAAGACTCTCAAGGTACCGATCTCAAAGGATCTTAGATGACTCAAATAGTGAGATAGATACTGAGACAATCAAATACTGTATAAAAACAACATATCTTACTGGTCACTATTGACATTCGAGGTCTGATTGCGACTGTGGCGGAAGTTCTGACGATAGTAGGCCTGAAGTTAGGCGTGAACGGAGCCCTGGGCGTTAGAACTACCGGATTTACGATGGGCGTGGAGGCGTTGGCGGCGGCTTCGCGTTCTTTGCTCGGATCGTAGTCGGGATCCTCGTCCTCGCCGAAGCGCCGCCGTTTTTTGGCCGGATTGGCGCCGCTGTGGTCGAGGGATCGCTTCTTTTGCGTCGAGCAGCACCGAGTGTGGTCCGTGTGCATGAGGGAATTCGTATTGTCCGCCGTCCCGGCGCGCCTGGCGACAAATCATAATCGTAATTGTCGGTTAATGAGTAGATGGGGAATCTTACCGGAATTCGGTTTGTACGTATTCGATGAATTCCGCGCAATGTATGCGAAGGTGGATGAGCTGCGATGAATTGCACCTGAAGCACAGCCAATCGTCGCTCTTCTGTATATCGGCCAACTTCTTGCGATCGAAATTGATTCGGATACATTTCTACAACAATAAAAAAAAACAACTTTAATTCGTTCGAACATCTTGCGAGATTGGATACCCTACCTTGCAAAAGACCATTTCGCAATTGGAACAGCACAACACCTGTCCGCCCTGACCGCACCACCTGCAATACAACTCGCTGCCGTCTTCGTCCTTTTCGAACTCGCCGCTCGTGTAGAAGTGATAGCACTTCTTGCAAATCAACACCTTCAGCAAGGGATGGACGAAACGGTTGCCCTGACCGTCGAGGGCGCTGCCCAAATGCACGTTGCACGCGGTGCAGTGGATTTTCGTAAATTGCACGGGATTGTCTACAAAAAATGCATAAGTAACAGGCGCTATTAAAAACTGAATACACTTACCGAGTCCGTAAGTTTTAGCTTTTAATTCCAATTCTTCCGTTGTTAAATTGAAGTCGACTGGAATTGCATATAAACAAATAAATTTATCACCGTTAATAATGTGGTTTTGGTTTTTTTACCTTCGGCTCCGGTCATTTCGTCCACGAACGTGGAGAATATTGGATCGTACAAACGTAAAGGGCTTTTGCTGCCATCCGGGGCCGGAGCGTCTGAAACAACAGTCATTTTTGACGTTATGCGTGACAGAAACGAAGCGCGGTGTTGTCATATTGTTTTACAGTGTGTCCCGACAAAAACATTGCAGAATGTTGAACACTTTATATAATTTATTTACCGTTTGTGGTTATAACGGGCGCTTCGTCTACTTCCATGGAAAGCTCCGGACACAAGAGAGAAGGATCAAAATCCTCGTCCATTTCTATATCGTCCTCGCCTAAAAATATTACAAAGCAAAAATTACAAATTGAATCGTTATAAAATAGCCAATTAATATAAACTTGCCTTCGGTTTCTTTTAATTTCGTTGCATCATTCGATGTGCTATCTGAAATGATACTGATATCTTCGTCTAAAATTTCCTCGGTTTGTTCAACGCTTTTGGCCTCATTTTTATCCTTAACAGCAACCTCTTTTTTAGTTGTTGCCTCGGTACCTTCGATCACAGATCCATCTTCCACAGGTTTCTCACTACTATCTGTCCTTTCTTTATCGATATCACTAATTTCATTCGAATTATCCATCGAGTTGGATTCATCTTTAACTTCTTTCGAATCAATAGCATTATTATCAGAATTATCATTTAAAACGGTATCCTTAGATTCGAGTTTGTCTTCGATATTATCCGTTGTATGAACATCATCCGAATTATTTACGTCGATTTCTTTGGTGGATTTTTCATCTTCTGCATCATCATTACCGTTGTTATCGGCTTTATTTTTATCATCTTCATCATCGTCATCACTGCTGTGGTCCGATTGCTTATTCAATATAGGAGTCAACGGCTCATCGTCGGTATCGTACAATTTGTCCGAATGAGTGGGACTGAGCAGGAGCTTCTCCGCTTCTTCCTCCTCTTCGCATTCATAATCGCTTTCTGTTTCCAGTGGAGTTTTATCAACTTCATCTTCAGCTACTAAAATACAGGAATTATTAGGCATTATATGAATTGAAGCATTGAAATAGAAAAGATTTACCTGCGTTTTGAGCTTTTATTTCGAAGGAACTTTTAACAGATTCGGAATCTAAAATAAAAAAAAAATTCAACAGATATTTGAGGTTATATTGTTGAAAAAATCTCAACTTACCTTGTATATCACTTATTTTCATGGCATTTTCAGATAGAACATGGTTACTCAGAGTTTCTAAAAAATGTTTCGAAATATTAATCACAGCAGGGAGATGTTAAATCGAATGATTGTACCTGTTTCCATTTCCTAAGACGGTTACTAGGGTCTCGAGATATTTGATTAGTTTGAATTTACATTTTCCCTTTTTGATACGAAAATGTCACCCTGTTGTCATTAAACGTCAAAATGATTTATTGCACAGCCGACTACGGTGCAATTGATCCTTTTTAAATTACACCAGCGGAAATATTTAAGTATTTATGCTTAAAAATCGCTAAAATATACTATAAAACTGAAAAAAACGAATAAGAGTAATATGGCATTGCTCGAAACAACTAGCATTAACAAACACTGGCACAAGTTAAATTATCAAGTTTCAGTTTCATGTAGCCTCACAGTGGAAGGCAATTTTGTCATTATAGAGCGTGTATGTCGATGATAACTTCAGCGGTCGTAGCGAACAAATTAAACCTGGTTACGTCATTTTAGTATTACATATTACATAATGTAAGATAGGGGGCGCTGCTTGTCATGGAGATTATGACGTTTGATTTTGACAAGGTATTTAATACATTACTACTTAAGTTTGGAAAAAAGTTGTTTTTGGATCCACAAGGTATGGTTTTTAGCCTTTAGCAGGTAGATAAATATCAATTTTTTCAAAAAATTCACTCGATTGACGTTTCTTGCAAACATGTCATTGTGACATTTTGCGTCAATGTGACGTTTTATGATGTAATGCGTCAGTTTCATGTTAAATTCGACATATTAAGCTGGCAAAACCTAGTAGCATATAGTAAGATCATCATATTTCTCATTTATTCCTCTTCCTATCATATTTATTTATTTATCCTAAGATGAACTTCAATTTCTATTTCTTTCTTTCACTGTATCTTTGTTTGTCCGGTGCATTGTTTGACATGTGATTGGAGCAGCAACAGTGGGCAGTGGGGCGAACGGAGCAGTAGCAATAAACGAGTATCGACGTACGTCGTGTTATTCGGCTAGAAGGAAATAAGTATTGAGTGATTTCGATTCGCGGGGCTTTGTAAATGCGTTGACAAGGTCATTTCAGGACAACTAGATTAGTAGTGCGCTTGTCCATAATTTGACAACTGACAAGTGTCGTTTTTCTTCGTTGTGGTAGTTAAATAATAAAATAATCGAGGCCAGTTTGGGGTTTTTACTTGATGTACGCATGCGTATTGCGATTTTTTATTAATTATATAACGGAAATTTGAGAATAATGTGAAATAACTAAATACTGTTTGTTTTGAGCTTTATTGTTCGATTATGAATGTATTTTGCACATTTAAAAATGGAGCTTTTTAAGGGAAATAAAAATTGGGGACACACATACTTGCAAATAAGATGAATAATAAAAATCTTTGATTTTAATTTAAATAACACAACACATTACAATTAATGCCAAAATAAAATGCGAGAGTTGCGAATGTAATTTTTCTTAAAAACCATTCACATGGCATAAAAATGAAAATTTTCCAATTTTTTTGGCATTGGTACTCCGCTAGGTAAGATTAATTTGATATAAAAATTCGACTTTTTATATTCCTCTTATTGGGTAATTAAATTCGATTTTAATTCGTAATTAACATCAATATAGCCAATATTTCAACGGTTTTTTAAACCAACCAATCGGCGATATAATAAACCATCTCCACTTAATTTACGATTTTCGGTTTCGCTTTCCTCCCTCGAAACATCTAGTCCTTCATCAGGGCCATCTGCAGCAACGGCACCACCGCTATGGTGGTTAAATCGGACAAAACGGCCTCGGCGTTCGGCAAAGTGGTCACTTTCAGCAGGTTATCCTTGCGAAAGATGACTATCACCACCGCCAGCAGCGGCACCACCTCCAGGGAATCATAGGCCAGCACCAGGTCCCAGAGGGACAGCAACTGCTCCGGGGGCAGGTGGCCGCTGAACGCTCGCATTATCCACTTTATCACCAACCTCAAGCTATCGCAAAAATATTATACATGCATCAGTCGAGTTACAGGTCTCAGCTACAGAAAATAATCGACACTTACGGTTGTATTTTGCATTTCTTGAAGTGATTCCATAACACTGGATCGTAACATTGCAGCAATCTTTCGAATTGCAGGCAGAGCGACACAACCCCTTGGGGGCTACCGCACACTCTGTGCAAACGATGCCAATATCTCAAGTAAAACGCCCTAAACGAAAAGTACAATTCCACAGGATCATCGTACAAGTAACAAAATGGCGCAGCTGTAATTATTTAGCCTATAGAAATCACCGATGTTTCTTCCAAATAACACTTACCATACATGGAAAACCCATGGAAAGGAATAACGCCGCTGGGCGGGAACACGATAGTACCCGATGAATTGCCGTTATCGCCGGATGGCTGTTTGCCCTTAATCAACACCTGCATGAAGGCCGGCTGGGTGGGGAGGTTTTTCAAAATTTCCGAGTCGCGCGAGAAGCACAGCATCACCTGGTACAATACATCCTCGAAGACGAAGTACTGGTCGTCGTTGGAGGCCGTCAGGGATATGTCTTTGATGATCAATTTATCGATCATCAGGTCGTACTGGAGGACGTGCTCTTTCAAAAACTCGAAGTACTTGTATTCCTGCAAATTACCTATTAGATGTACAATGTATCCTTGGATTGAGTTGATGAGATGAGGAAAATGAGAGGTGAAAAGTTCTTACGAATTTCTGAGCGTCCGAGCCCAAGAGCAAGCTCCACATTCTGGCCCTCAGGCATCGAGGACAGCCCTTTTTGAGGAACTCCTGCGCCAGGGGGGCGTAGTTCCTGGATAGTACTCGTTCGCCTAGCGTTATTCTCTCTTCCTCTAGCAGGGTGAAGGTTTGGGGCATGGTGAGGGCGTTGCTGGGCGTCAAAATTTGCTCGCCCTTCGACAGATCCCCGTAGAAAGTTCTCTATAAAATCGAACAATTCAAAATGGATGAATAGCGGTTTTGTAGTGATTGTTTGGTTTAGGGTTTCTTACCAATTCCGCCAAGTTTTTTACTTTCAATGGTAGTTGGGTGAATTGCCAATCGCCGTTACTGAAAGATATAACAGATAAAGGAATAAAAAGTTTCTGTTAAGTTATTTCTTACTCACCCTGTACTTTTTTCATCTAAGGGGCCTTTTAGATTGAGCAAAACGTCCAGGAAATCCTTCGGAGCGTAAACTGGTCTGTATTTGTGAATGTCCGCCTTAAATAATAAAGAAATGTATTTTTAGTAGAAAATTTTCAAGATTTTTTTACAGGGTGATTTCATCTTAAGCTTCGTATATTTCGTATGTAGGGGCAAAATATTAAATTTCTTCCTAATAAAAATATTATTAAAAATTTTACTTCGTAATTGCTGAGTTCCGTCCATTTGGCGAGCAATTCCTCCCTTTCATTGGCTGTCCTGGGTTTAGCCAAAGATATTCCCAATTCATTGCACATGGAATTCAAAGATTTATGAATCCGCTTGTCCCAGTGTATTTGGCATTTTCTGAAGAAAAAATCATACGTCCAATAAAAACCCTACTTTAGTCCAAATTTTAATTAACAAAAATATATAAACAATATTCGTATACCTGAAAAAGGAATCGTAAGCGTTGCTTTCCTTTTTCTTCGACATAATGTACCGGTAAATGGTGTTTCTCAAATTGGATTCCAGCCCGTTTTCCTGCATGGCTTTCAGCAGGGAATCCCCGAAGTCCTCGGTCCGTACACGCGGCGTAATCGCCAATTTCTGGAACAATGGCGGCCAAAAATAATTTTTTTGAAAGAGTTCACTTGAAATTTCTTTTTGATAATTCAGTATGACATTCCAAACGGTATCGCAGGCGGCTTATGGCAATTAATCGTGGAGCTTATGGAAAGGATAATTGAAATTGAATTAGAAGAAATATAAAAATGTTTAAGAATAATAGAAATAGAAGAAATGGAAAGTCGGAAAAGCGGGAGATTGTAGATGGCGCTGGTTATAATTTGGAAAAGCGGGAGACTGTAGATGGCGCTGGTTGTCATTCAATATGGCGGTTATTAGGTGAGACTTGAACAAATAATTTAATAATAATATCCTCTTTTACAGTTACGTGCATTTTACATTTTATCATTGGTTACGTACTTTGAACCCCAATTAACGTATTAATAAATGGAAAAAGCACTTATTTTTCTTACCCACCTGTATATCTTCAAACAGCCTCGCATGATAAGCCGATTTTTTTAAATCCTCGCAAATTTTTGCGGTCATTTGACTCAAATTCTTCTCTTGTCGTTCTTCTGTTACTGCTCTTCTGTTTACCGATTCTTCCATTTTTCCTGCTGTAAAGAAAGCATTCCTTTCGTGAAAATGAAAAGTTTTATCGAAAATACATTTTATCGGTTCCTAGGCGACGAATTTTTGAATTCTTCTGTCAATTGTCAACAAAGTAGATCGAATAGCCCCAGCAGTCAAGTCTCCAATGTTAAGTTAAAATAAAGAAGAGAAGAGGAATGGAATAATTAATTTGACCTTGTCCTTGTGTCATCCCATTGATAAGTGACTTGCGGTTTAAGGTTTTTTCATTTTACGCTGTTAACAGTAGTAAATTAATTCGTTTATATCGAATTTATTCCATATACTGATCAGTCAGTTACCGTTTGTACGTAAAATCAATTTCCATCAAAATGCCTAGCAAAGCAGTGTGCGTGTTGAAGGGAGAAGTCAATGGGACCGTGTTTTTCGAACAAAATGTAAGTTATAGATTATCAATTATGAGATAATGATTATGATATAATCAATTAAGTTTATGTAATAACAATCGTGCATTTTATATGTCCATCTTTTAAGTTTTTTTATTTACTTCGAATTATAGTTTAATAATAAAGTTTACATAATTACTTAATTATTAACTAATATTACATTTGTGTATGTAATACTTGCACTAGATATATTTTTTCATTGTTTTTTTAGAGTAAAATTTACTTTCTTGAAACTGCAAATATATAAATGTTTAGTATTCAGTTAGGTATTTTATATATTAAAGATCAAGGTCTCTCCATGATTGTGTTCAAATGGAAGATTCCACGATTAAATTATTTGTGCATTTATTTGAATATTTAATGCAATTGGTCCAATAATTATTTCACTTGCTAGTTCAATAGACTTCGATTAATATTTGATTGAATGTTTGTATGTAAATTTACATTCTACCTTAACTGTTAGGTTATTAATTATGCAGGATATTTTTAGAATAACAATTACCTTCGAAAATATTAAATAATTTATAATGTTGAATTATAAATTATTGTTGTTTTAGTTGTACACTCTAGTTACCTTTGATTAGAAAATAATAATTGTAATTACATTAATTCAATAAATCGAAATAACTCTAGAAAAAGCTTAGGGGAAAGGTCATTCATTTAAATATCTAAAGAATGATAAAGAATTTAATAAATTCATTATAATTATTTTTAGGACGCTAACAGCGCTGTAAAAGTAACTGGCGAAATAACCGGCCTAAGTAAAGGCCTTCACGGTTTTCACGTACACGAATTTGGAGACAACACGAACGGTTTGTATATATTCCTAACCAAAATACTTATACTCTATTACCGAAACTATATCAATTTCCAGGTTGCATCTCCGCCGGGGCGCATTTCAACCCCTTGGGCAAGGAGCACGGCGCCCCCACGGCCTCCGTTCGACACGTGGGTGACTTGGGTAACGTGGAAGCCGGCCAGGACGGAGTCGCCCGAGTGAACATTCAAGATTCGCAGATATCCCTGGAGGGGCCCAACAGCATCGTCGGGCGTACGGTGGTCGTTCACGCGGACCCCGACGACCTGGGGCTCGGCGGACACGAGCTGAGCAAAACGACAGGAAACGCCGGGGGCAGATTGGCCTGCGGGGTTATTGGATTGGCCAAAATGTGAATTGTTTAATTTGTATGCGTGTAATATTGTTAATAAAGGTGATTTCATTGTAATTTCGTTGGATTAAAGTTTTGTTGGTGTATAATTTTGGTGTTTTATTTCATTTTAATTGCCAAATAACTCGAACGTACGAGGTCGAGTAAATGAAAAAGATTTAGATGACATTGTTGACAGTGACAGCCACGTCATTCATTATGTCAAAACAACAAACTTGTGAATTTCAAATTTCAAATTAGTCCAACAAATTCCACTTTCTCTTTTATTTAAATGGATTCGAAGCTTTCATTGAAAAGCAATACATAACAATGTTATCACCATTATTGTTGTCATTGTATGTTTTGTGAAAATTCCCTGTAAGTAAACCCGATTAATTACATAATTAGCAACAAAATGTGGCGTACGAAACTGAAAACATTACTCAAATACTCCGTGTACGGTACCCTAATAGGCGGTACCGCCTTGAGCCTCAAAACCAACCAGTACTCGATAGATTCGATAGGCGTAGTGAGATTAAGCAGGGCGGCCTTTACGGTCCTGCAAATAGGCCTCATATACAAGCGAGACCTGTATGGAAAACGCCTGGACGAACAGTCCGAGGAATACAAGAAAGTAAAGTCTGAGTGTCACAAGAAAAGCGCCGAGAAGCTGCTCGAATTGTGCTGCACGAACAAAGGCGTGTACATCAAAGTAGGCCAACACATAGCCGCCTTGGAATACCTTCTGCCCACCGAGTACGTACAAACCATGAAGATCCTACATTCACATGCGCCCGTCAATGACATCCAGGAGGTCTATCGAGTCCTTCGGGAGGATCTCAAAAAAGACGTAAGTAATTTAAATCGCACAATTAATCAATTTACCGATCAAATTGACGTGTGACATTTCTGTGACAGCCCTTCGAAATATTCTCGAAAATCGAGGAGGTCCCGTTGGGCACGGCCTCCTTGGCTCAAGTGCACAAGGCGACGCTCAAAGACGGCACCGTCGTCGCCGTCAAGGTGCAGCATCCCTACGTACAGGGTAACTCGAAAGTCGACATGAAGACGATGGAATATCTAGTGAAGCTAACGAGCATCATTTTCCCCGAATTCAAGTTCCAATGGCTGGTCGATGAGTCCAAGAAGAACATACCGAGAGAACTGGACTTCGCCATGGAAGGACGAAACGCTGAAAAGGTGGCTGAATTATTTCGGGACGTCGATTGGTTGAAAGTGCCTTCTATTAGGTAAGTTTTTAGTTAAATATATCAATACGTAGTAATTTTTAATAATACGATTGTTTTGTAGATGGGATTTGACGACTAAACGTGTATTAACAATGGAATTCGTCGAAGGGGGACAAGTCAACGATTTGAAATACATAGAAACCAACAAAATCAATCCGTTCGAAGTATCGGATAAATTAGGAAAATTGTATTCGAAAATGATTTTCATTCACGGTTTCGTACACAGCGATCCCCATCCTGGTAACATACTCGTCAGGAGAAGGGAAAAGGGCGATTGCGATATCATTTTGCTCGATCACGGATTATATGCGGTGAACGATTTCCAAATATCCATTTGAGAAATATTTATTAATTTGAATTTTTTCAGACTTTAAAAGACGAATTGAGAGTAGAGTACGCGAATTTATGGTTGAGTATTCTAAACAGAGACATAAACGGCATAAAATTGCACAGCAAGAATTTAGGAATCGATGGCAGGGCCTTCGGTTTGTTCGCTTGCATGGTGACAGGTCGAACATGGAACAGCATCATGAGAGGCATTGACAAGTAAGTCCAAAATAATTCGTTCCGTGTACACAAGAAAATAAAGTTTCGAACGCTTCAGAATCATTTAGAACTGACTAGAATCATTTAGAATGCTCCAGAACCATTTAGAACGCTCCTGCAGTACCCTTTAGAACTGTCTAGAATCATTTAGAATGCATTTAGAAATGTTGAACAGCGTAGAAATTACTAAAAATGTCATCTCAAAACTTACGAACTTTCTATGAATAATACGTTATTAGGGAGAAACTGACGAGCAAAGAATCGACCTTCATGAAGCAGACGTTCACCGGCATCATTCCCCAAATATCGGACGTCCTGCAGAACGTGAATCCCCAAATCCTGCTGATATTGAAGACGAACGATTTGATGAGAGGGATCGAGCACGCCTTGAAAACGAACGAGCGCATGAACTCGTTCAAGGTGATGTCGCAATGTTGCGTTCGATCGGTGTACAACCAGAGGTACTCGATGAGCGAGAAGAAGTTCGACAAAATCAAGATATCCCTGGCGGAGTTTTGGGTGCTGTTTAAGATTAATTTGTATTATGTCTATTTGAGTTTGAAGAGTAAATCTTTGTGTATGTTTTGCTGAGAGCTTTAATTGTTAATTTATTATTTATTGGTTAAATTAGGTAGTATAGGGAATTATCGCACAATTCTAGTTTAGGGATTTAAAGTAGTAAAAATATACTTATTGTGCAGTAAAACGTTAAATAATCTAGTATAAAGATAAGTGCAATTTTGTACGCAATAATGTCTATGAAAGCAACACAGATAACTTTCATAAATCTCATGTTAAGGAAAAAGATTAAATTATATTGTGGGGTTGCAACGTTCTCATTTTGGCTACTGAATTGACCATATTGCAAACGAAATTGCACTTAACCATATAAACGACTGATATATCTGATTAAATAAATAAATTAAATAATTTAGGAATTTGAGGTTTTTTATAGAAATTTAAGATATTTTAGAGAATATGCAAAACGTAAGCAACATATTGAATGTGATAACAAAATTTTTAATATTTATCTAGTAATTTAGTGATAAACCGTTGGGCATGTTTGTTATCTGAAATAAATATATTTTACAAGATTTTTAGATATTTAATTTACATTTATTCTCCTATTAAGATAATTTTATTTGATCGTGTCATTCGGAAATGCCCGATAATTCACGAAATTCATTGACGTTCCTAAATTTTACACATACCTTGCCAGCTACCTAGTTGAAAAATATACTACAGTGAATACTACAGTCATTCCAATCGAGCATTGACCTTCATTACATAACTAGAATAATGGTAAATATACCTCATTAAATTTGATCACAACATACAGAAATTATTTTTAGCCAAGATTTACCTACAGAGGCTTCTGCGCCCCGGTTTTTACCATTTTTAACAAAGATCTGTAAGTACTTAATTAATTTAGTACAAATAAATTATTTCAATCAAGCATTTCAGCTCCGTAAATACGAAAATAATCCCTGAATATGCTAAATTCCTGTCCAAACAAAACGTCGATGGAGTTTTGGGTAAAAAATTCCTCTTCAAAAATATCAACTTTAACCAAATTTCGTATTATTAGTTAACGGTACTACTGGAGAAGGAGTGTGCATGAAGGTACACGAAAGAAAACTGGTCGCAGAAGAATGGTCGAAGGCTGTAAAATCCACCAATCAACATTTAATGGTACATGTAGGAGGTAGCTCTTTACCGGACGTCCTGGATCTAACAGAACACGCTGAGAAAATCGGAGCAAACTCGCTACTTTGCCTTCCGGAATTGTTCTTCAAACCGAAATCCCCAAAAGAACTTATTAACTACCTAAAACCAATCAGCCAGGCAGCTCCTAATACCCCTTTGTTGTACTACCACAATTCCGCGTATTCTGGAGTTCACAGTTAGTGTCTCAATTGCTGGTTGAATTTCTATTGGAAATTTTTTTTCTAGTCAATATGGCAGAGTTTTTGAAGCAAGTGGGCAATGAAATTCCAAATCTCAAAGGCATTAAGTACTCTTCGAACGATTTGGGCGAAGCGGTGACTGCTTATGAAACTGAAAACAACAAATTTGCCGTATTTGTTGGAGCCAATGCGGTACGTATTTTCAACAGAAAAAGCAGAGTTATTAATTTGGTTTGTGGCAGCTGATTGCACCAGCGTTATTCATGGGCATCGATTCGCTGGTAGCAACCTCGCTCAATTTTATTCCTCAATATACGATTGGAATCAAGAAAGCTCTTACGGAAAAGAATCTGGTTGAAGCAAGGAAACTTCAAGTAGAATTGATTAATGTTATGTCGGCTATTAGTAAATTCGGTAATAAGTACATTTTAATAGAAAAATTTAATTACTCATTCGTGCATATCTCCAGGTGCCTGGGTTCCTACCATGAAAACAGCAATGACTTTTCTAACACCGATTGATGCTGGTAAGGCTAGACCACCATTGTCAAATCTAAATGATGAGAATGTAGCTGAAATGAAACGGATTCTTAAACAATTATCTGTTTTACAAGAATAAAAATATACACTTATTACACTAGATTACACTAGATTCCACTAGTTATTACACTAGATTTTTTTATTTAAAAAGTACCCTATCAATTTCCTCCTAGCACGGTTATGAAATGTAAATACCGAACTTTCTCGATAATTCCAAAAATAGAACTTAACATAAAGGACATAACGGACGTAAGATCGTTGGTTGTGTTTGCTTATAGCTTACATTTTGTAATGCTAGAAGAAAATAGTTAAATGTCTCCTAATATCTGAAAGTACATAAGTATTTTATTTTCTTATATGATGCTTTGCATATATTATGATATATTATGAAATTGTTTAACTTGACATATCCAATAGTTATCAAAAGATAAGAATAAAGTGTACTTCAAATAAAAGTAAGTTAATTAAAATTTGTTTTTTTCTTTTAATCGTACTAAATGGAAATTATTGATAACACTGTATTACTTAACGTTTCGTAATTAATGTACACATAATAATCATTATTTTAGCGACCTTCATTTAATATTACACAAAATGGCAAGTATTATTTACTGAAATTAGAAAATTGTGAATTATTGCATATTTTTCAGGTCAATTTCACTTACAGGGGATTGTGCGCACCGGTTTTTACCATCTTCAATAAAGACCTGTAAGTACTCATTAATATTAAATACAATTTAAGATACTTAAATCCCCAACATTTTCAGAACTGTAAACACAAAATTAATACCAGAATATGCTAAGCACTTGGCACAAAATGGAATCGACGGAGTTTTGGGTAAGCCAATAACACAGTTTCAATTTCTCATATTTAGCATGCAATTGTTTGTAGTTCCATGAATTACAAATAGGCTAGAACCATTCAGAACGCTCCAGAATCATTTAGAATTGCCTAAAACCATTTAGAGCACACAAGAATCATTTAGAAGTAACTAGAACCATTTAGAACGCACCAGAACCATTTAGAACTTACTACAGCCATGTAATTCCAGTTCATGGAACCTCCGGAGAAGGAATGTCGATGACTGTAGCAGAAAGAAAATCAGTCGTGGAAGAATGGGTCAAAGCCGTGAAATCCACCAAACAACATCTTATGGTACAAGTCGGCGGTTGTCCACTACCAGATGTCCTGGAATTGGCCAAACACGCCGAAAAAGTTGGCGTTGACTCGCTCCTTTGCCTTCCCGAATTGTACTTCAAGCCTAGTACTGTTGCAGAACTCATCAATTACCTGAAACCAGTAGGTCAGGCTGCTCCTAACACGCCTTTGCTGTACTATCACATTCCTGCTTGGACTGGAATTAACAGTACGTAATTTGCCTAGCTATTGCAGGATTTACAGATTTAGGAGAAGTAGAATTTAGCTTTTATAGCGTGGTAAATTTTTAGTAAACATGGAACAATTTTTGAACCAAGTGGGCGATGTTATTCCAAATTTCAAAGGCATCAAATACACTTCTAACGATTTAGATGGTGGATTGGCCGCTCTTAGAGTCAAAAACCGTCAGTTTGCCGTATTTCTTGGAGCTGATACAGTAAGAATTATGTTCTATAAATCACATACTACCAACAATATGTTTGTTTATTTATTAGCTAGTTGCACCAGCGTTTTCCATGGGATTCGACTCCACCATAGCAACCTCACTGAACTTGTTGCCGCAATATTCGGTGGCAATAGCGAAAGCTATTAAAGAAAACAACCTGGTAGAAGCCAGAAGAATTCAAGATCAATTGAGCGCGGTCGTCTCAGTTATTACTAAAAATGGTAAAATTTACAATAGACGTTGCATTAAATTTTACATACACGAATATTTTTATAGGTGCCTGGGTTCCTACAATGAAAGTAGCAACCACCCTTTTAACTCCAATCGATGTGGGTAAAGCTAGACCTCCCCTTGTAAACTTAACCGACGAACATGTGGCAGAAATGAAGGAATCTTTAAAGAAATTGTCGCTGCTGTAAAAATATGAAACACCGAAATTATAAAATGTTTTTCCAATAAAACGGAGTTATATGCAACATATTTATTTATTCATTTATTTTCAAATAATTCACTTGAAATATATTTTTAACAATCACAATTTTATGTTCTAATATATACACAATTCGAGGGAACATGGGGACAGATAGAGTATTCACAAAATTAATTCGTTTTAGCGAATAATTTTTTGATAAATCTGTGGGTATTGAACGTACGTAAAGTATCGTGTTATCGCAAATTCAGGTGGAATAAGTAAATAAACGTTTCAAAGTTAAATTTAAAACACATTAAATTTGTGAATACTGATAATTATGATACTAAACACATAGATATGCAAAATATTTGACACTAAACTTTGTTACACCGTATTTTATTATTTTATTGCCTCTACACTACACTGCTCTAAACGAGGAAATCAATTCGCCAAAATTAAATCATGTCATTATTTAATTTCGATGAATAAATTTCGTCGTTGCGTAAGGAAAAACTCAATACAAACACGAAGTTAAGCCTATCAAGCGTATATCATTGAAGAAAATAAAAGACGTATCTATTATTCATGAAAAATTTGAAAACTTTTTAACATTCATAAAATTATTATATGTATAATTTAACACCGTAAACATTTTAATTAAAGAATTATTTTTAGTTTTATTATCACAACTGAAAATTGCCGTAATTTTTTAAGAGTTAATAAAGTGTTTTCTTTTGATTACCTAAAGTTTACTTGGTAATGTTTAAGAAATTTGATTATGATATTAAATATTTCATTTCGCAAAAAATGCTTACGGATTTTTACCTTACGAAAATATCAATCATATTGACAAGTTAGAGAGACAGGTCACAACACTTAAGTGAAATAAATTCTTATTGCAAAATGTTTTAAAGGAACAGGAATAAATTTATGCATAGAGTGTTTAATTGTACATTTTACAATAAAAATACTAATTTTATTGTTTCTACTCGAATGAAGTATTACACAATATTTGGAATACTTTTAGGTATAAGTTATGTCAAAATGAGTTTACTAGAAATACACCTACAAAAACAATAGGTACTCATTAGATAAAAACTACAAAGAATTTAATAATATTATTTGTTAAAATTTAACGCAAGCAACGTAAATTCAACATTAATACGACACAACCTATAACGCATAAAAATGTTTTCTATCACTTTATGTCTTATTGAACTACATAGAGATTTTTGAAATTCCGAAATTAATGAGAACAATACTGAATATACCTGTAGACAACGCAAGGGGTTCATTTTTGAAATATCTACTTCAACATTTAGATATCTTCAAATTGAATAAATGACGCAATCAACTACGAAATGGCTCATCTAAAATTAATTGACAGTTGTTTGTGAACAATGTTGTTCAAAAAATTCCGCGATCAACATCAGAAAAATAGTTATACAAGTGCTTTAATTAGCATATTATACTAAGAGCTTCTATTGTAGCATTTAAAGCGGCAAAAAATTAGGAAATTTTGTGTGGTTTTCAAAACTAAAATGTACCATTTTCCGATAAGTTAATTGCATACAGGGTTTTTCATTCAATAAGAGGAAAACCCTACAAAATATCCGATAGAACAATATTTATTTACAAACAATTGCTTCCCAAATTAACGGACAAAACATAATTATTTGCCCAGCTGTTTTATCCGTTAGTTCGTTTAGGTGGGTACTAATTTTCTGATGATGTGTCTTTGCACCCGCTCGCATAATACCTGTAATTGCACATAAAGTTTACACGGACACGCATACACATATAATAATAATATTTATTATCTACTAATTCAAATAGTTTAGGAAATCTACTTTGTTGGTATAGTAATTAATGCACGATGTCCATTTATCTATTAATTATTATTGTATATCCAAACTCTTTGCTAAGAAGACCTATTTTTTATATCTATAAGACAAATTTTTAATATAATTTAGCGGGGAATTGGGTATTGATGGGACATCCTGCACTCCTAAATGCATATTAATTTGTTCTGATCATCACACATATATCCTTAAAACTAATTATTATTATCTTAGACATGGTAGGATTCCCTACCATTTATTATTGTCAGCACAGCCCTGAGGTATAAACCTCAAATATCTTAATACTACGAAAAATTAAAATGTTTAATAACAACTGAAATAATTAACGAAATTCGTTTAACAAAAATTGATTAATATATTTTTAAAGCTTTATAACAGATATGGCAAGGTCTATAAGCCAAGCACCAACGTAATAATAAATAATTTACCTACAAAATATTTGATAAATATTAAGAATTAAGTAAATTGCTTGTCTGCTTCCTGTTTAAAACAGTATATTTGTCTACATTTAACAAAAAATAGTAAAATTATATTTTTTAATCGTGAGTTTGTTTCATAACATGATTATAACTCGAAAATATGATAAAAAAAATCGTCTCTTTAGAATTAGCAGGCCCTTATGCTCATCCTAAAATGACAATAACATTTACAATCGCTATTCCTCACAATTAACTCATTTAAAATGGAATTTTTATTATGTAAAATTAATGAATTTGTATTATTTCAAGAAAGTTTTCACTTTTAACGAGAAAAAACAGTTAATCAATTTTTATTCAAAAAAGTTGAGATACTTTAGAAGACTTTTTTTAAACTTCATTATTGTCGCTAATAGCTAATAATCTGCTTTCGAGCAGGAAAATATCGGCTTATGAAAAATATTCTCAACTCTAATAAAAGCTAATAAATTTTGTATATTATTTTTCATAGCTTTCTGAAAGTAATGTACAGAATATTTGATCAATTTTCGTCAAGCGCTTTTGAAAAACCATCAAATATTATTTTGCATAATCATGGTATTTTGATAGTTTCCAATAAACGTCTAAGAAAAAATCAAAAGAAGCACTCTGCATTTTTAATATAGGTATTTAAATAATTGCATATTCTGAAAAAATTGCAAATCTGTTAGTTTATTATTGTACGAAAAATGGTGTTAATATTTTAGTCATTTAACATACACGATTTTTAATCTTTTATAATTTTGTATGTAAATGCAGTTTTAGAAAAAATCATTATTTTATTAATATTTGCGTATACTTTAGGTTTAAGTTTATTGTCTTACAAATATTGTCAAGACCGGTGTAAATAATTATTGTAAAAATTGAGAGTTCAATATAAGAAAATGACTAACATATACCAGAATAACATTCAATTTAATTTTCATTTTACTGATGATTTTTGTTGATTTTTGTTCATTTAATTTCAAATCGAATAGGTAATAATTCTTCTTACAAATTGACAATAGATGTTTTATATAAATATACTTTTGTAAGGTGCTACGAGTTAACAGTTGCAATAATTTATTATCGAAACAATACAGCTCTACTAAGTTAATATAAGTAACACTTTTTAATTTTATTTTTTATAAGGAGATAATCAAAAAATATACTTCACGCACGGTGGTATATTTCTTATAATCTATAATAATGAATTTTGTAAGTATATTTTTTGAATCATTATAGTCCAAATAGAATAATTCCAATACGTAAAGTGTTATTAAAAAAATGTTGCGTCGAATAATAGGTGCATATAGAGGCACTAATTTTGAATAAAGTCATAGGTAACACGATTTATTCGTTGTTTTTAGACTATGAGTTTTTGTAACTATGAGTTTTCAATAGAAATTATTACCGGATGAACTTATACTTGAAATTTGAAACATTCAAATAATTATTCCAAAAGTGTCACTTTTAGAAATTGTATTAAAACTTCACGGAATTCTAATTTGCTTTATCAGTGTTAATCTCTCTCACTTTTTAGATGGTTAACAATTCTTCTACCAATTTTTAGTAGATATCTATTTTCATTCAATGTGCTGAAAATTGGAATGAAAAGTATACTCGATAGTATAATTTTTCCCAATTTTTATTAAAAATCCAATGATTTGTATAAAAAAAATTAATTTGAGAATTTTACGTACCTACCGTTTAAACAGAAAATAAGTTAAAATATAGGACTTACCGTAAGATCCCTTCAATTGGATGTTCAAATTAAATAATAAGAGTATAATTATACTGGTTGGACCAATTCCCGATTTTTGCTGCATTCATTATAGATCTACATATTTCAATAAAGATTCATGATTTTGTCAAAGCTCATAAAATCTTCCACTTCAAGCTTGCATTTGAACGAAAATATTATACAATGCATTTATTCGCACTGACAAGTTTGTGAATCATTGTTGGAAAACGTTTAATGCACCGAACTTTCTTTTCTTGTACTAATAGAATAAAGTAAGAGGAGTAATTTTGATGATTTTGATACCAGTAAATAACAAGATTACTGCACCCCAATATAGTACCTAACATTACTCAACAACATTACAACCCCAATATCAAAAGAACCGGAGCAAGAGATAAAAATCAACCCTACAATAACATCCACCGATTTCCTAAAAAATCGTAAAGCCCCTTCCATCTCATCCTCCAAACAACTCCTGCCTTATTCCGAGCGCCTCAGTAAGTTCTATCTTTAATAGAGCCGTGCAGATACGAGTCCTGAGCGGCCGGTTGAACGGTCTCCGAGCGGAACGGATTCGAAGAAGACCTGAAGGGATTACCCGAAGGGACGGCTGGAACTTCGGGCGGGAAGACTTGCGGCGGTCCTGCGGCTTCCTGCGAGTACTGCGACGATATCGAAGGCGGCCTCGGCGGCAACGCAGGCCGACCCGGTAGAGGAGTCTCCACCGAGCCGTAATTCGCGGCGTTGCTTGATTGTCTCTGTACCAAACCATTCTGAGGCTGTACAAGCAAAATTTTTGTAATAAAATATGCCAACAGACGTAAAATTAACTGCAGTTGAAGCTCGAATTGTATTATCTTCCAGTATTCTTAGTTCGAATCTTTTTTCAACATTTTCTTCTGGTACCTCATTTTGATAGTTTTCAATCAATCATAAAATTCTCAAGAATAAGTACTGTTAAAATTACCATCATAAATGTTGATAAAAATGAAGAATGTTATAGTAATTTAAATGCGCCTTATGTAGGCAAATTTGGAAGAGAGTTGCATAGGGAAGCATAGATTATGAAGAAAATTTTAAAATATTACTTACTGGTTGCTTCTTGATGGGTATCGCCTCGTTCATCTGAGACCATTGCTTCTCTTCTTCAGCAGTAGGATCAGCCCAGGGTTGCAAATCTCCCGACGCAAATATCCCGTAGAATATAATCCCGGAATAATGCACGAACGCCGATATTATAAAGACAATCCTCCATTCTTCTTTAGTCTAAAACGAAGAACGAGAAATCTTGCACCAGCCGCAGAAAGACTAATTTTATTCGGTGCGTGGACAGCAAAATCGCCCGAGAATTTCGAAGAAATTTAACTCTAACGGATTACCAACCCAAACGAAATGCATATTGTTCCGCATTTCGCCTCGCATGGCCGCCGACGCGTTAACTCCGCGAACAATGGTATCATTGTCGGGAGGCGTAAATGACGTGCATACGGAAAGCTCGATTTCGCCGAAGCGTCGAAGCCAGTCGTGCGGAAAAAGCGCGGGGGCTCCCGACGACCGCGCCGCGTGAAATATAATCCGGGCGAAGCTTTTTTATTTTAAAGTGGCTCCGGCGACGTGATTTGTTGCGGGATGATGCGCTGAGCGGGCGGTTTTCGGGAGGCATGAGCGATTCGAAAGGATATCCTATTTTGCTTCACGGTTACGCGAACACCGACCGCTGGGTTATGTAGAAATACAACTTACCTTGTGTTTTACTATTAAATGCACCACGTACGGGACAATGGCGCCTGCGATAGTTCCGATTCCGTTGGACATACCCATCAAGATACTAGCGTACCTTGGTGCTATGTCTAGATGGTTGACGTTGAAACCGGATATAGCGAATCCACTGAAACCGACTCCAATTGATAGGGCTGTCATTCCTTGTGTTATAGTATGAGAATAGGCCATTATAAGAAAGAACGTGGCTTCCATACCAAACCCTACAAAAAGATAACGTGAGGAAACGTTTGGAAATCGAATGAAATAGTAATCACCTCCGCAATTAAACAATTTCCTCACTTGCGTTGTCGTTAGAATTCCCCGTTTTCTCAACCTATCAGCCAGAATTCCTCCAACAGGAACGACGATTGTCATCAGTAAATGCGGCAAGGCTCCCAGCACAGCGTTCTGTACACAAAAAGAATTAAAACGAATGCAAACCAATTTTTAAATCCTCATACCTCGGTCATTTCGGAATGGAAACTGTCTTGGAAATAGGACGCCTGGAAGAGCACCAACAGATAGAAATTCCACGACCTGCAGAAATTCGCCACGAAAATGGCGTAACAAGGCAAAGAGGTGAAGAACGATTTCCAAGGCGTGTTCGTTATGGTGGGCGTTATGTAAGTTTGCTGCGCCGTGCCCAACGAATGTTCGATGAAAGCCAGTTCTTTGGTTTCGATGCAAGTGTGATAAGTGGGCTTCTCGAACACTAACCACAACCACGACACATACCTGTGAATATGCAACGCGTACTGTACATTGATTATTATGAAGATGTGGTGTGATTTACCAGAATATTCCTATTACCCCGTAGAAATAAAACGGAGCTAAAACGCCGAAATGCTCTATAAGTTCCCCGGATATTGGCATTGAAAACATTACTCCTGCATAACAACCGCTGAAGGCGAGCGTCGCAAGGCGAGATCTTTCTAACGGTGGAGCCCAGTGTCTCATTATACCGTGACATGCAGGATATGTAACACCCTGCAATTTTTCTACCATTAATAAAATATCCAATTCGTATTGTACATGAGGTCGTGGAGTTTTGCTTACCTCTACTAAACCCTGCATAACTTTTACGACTATGAGAAAATCCGGCTTTTGGTACAAAGCTGGTATAATGAGATTTAGGAGGCAAGACGAGAATATGGCAGCACCGAATAGTTTATTGGCTGGATAGGCCGCCGCTATTAGACCGCCGGGGATCTGAGTAACGAAGTATCCCCAAAAAATGGCCGCGTCCACGGCCGAAAGGGTCTCCGGCGTCCAAGTATTGTTCTAAAAAAAACCACAAATTTACCCGCATTTGCACCGGGCACCGCAGTGAATTTACCATTTTAATCTTGACCAGTCCCATGCTCGTCCGCATCCCGAACATGATGATGAAACCCATGCAACTGAGCAACGCCACCGTGGCTCTTTTGCTGAGACACGGCAATTCCGCCCTGATGTACTGGTCGATTTTCCTCAACGGCGGCCTTTCGAACTCCGGCAGGCTTTCCGGCGAAGCGTCCTGCAGATTGCCCTCCGTCGTGCCGTCTTCTTTTTCCTGCCTCAGCGACGAGGGGTTGAATTGATCGTATTGGTTCCTAAAATCGATTATTTAAAGATAAACCAAATCCTATACAAATTTCATAATGGTAATTCTACGATGAGGAACAGATAGAATGTGGGTATAAATTTCTTACAACTAAACAGATTTCTTAAATCGTATCGAAGCGGAGCCTAAATTGAAGGAACGTTTAAATCCTGCTTGATACAGGGGTGGAAGTTTCTTTGAAACGGGAAGGAACTCGGGAAAGAAAATTAAAACGTATAACCGAGCTCGAAAAGGTGGGTAATTTACAAATTGAAATGAATCGCCGACGAGGAGAGAAAAAAATCACAGCGAATTGTGCAACATTATTTAATTTGTGTACGTTGGGTTTTAGCTGTTTTGTAATTTAATCTCGGTTTACTTAAGTTCGAGGGGATAATCCGGCGATTCCCAGTTTCGTCACGCTTCCAGATTACAAGGTGACGAGCTCCAAGAAATTGCGTTTAAAAGTATAGCGGTATTTTGTATCGAGTATAATATTGATATTAATCACTTCCAAACTGTACATTTTTATGAAATAATTTATTGTCCTAAGCAGGAAATAATCCGAATTCAAGGACTAAAATTTTCAGTGCGCTAATTTATTTTCCAGAAAAAATATACGTTTCCCAAAGGTAAAATATAAAGGCCCCTTTGCTTCGATCAACAGGTAGGCAGCAGTGCGTGTTTATTATTTAGACCCTTCTGGTGCTCGTAGAATTCTCCCTGCTACTCCCTGTGGACATTTATTACCTCCATAATAGGACTGGGTTTTCCTTGATTTCTCTCCAAATATCTTACCGGCTGGTTTATTGAATTTCTCGGCTAATAAGAGCTAATTATTTGGCTTTTACACAAAAATAACGACACGTACCCCGGAGATTACTGCTAATTGAATTAGCAGGAATAATTAGAACAAGTAAAATATAGGGAGGTGAAATAAAATCTGGTGTTCTAAGTACGTTGTAATTTATAGAGATTTGTAGGTGTTTAAGAGATCTTCAATAAGGTAGTTCAATAAGTAGTGGTAGTAAAAGGCTTTCAGATACCTAAAAAAGCTCGAATAGCCGCCTTAATTAGGTCGATTCGCGGGAAATTAAATTAATCGCGACGTCAGCAGTACGTCACTGGGTCTTTTGTAATATGATTCCTCATCGTCGGTTGATTGTGAACCACTTAAGAGGCGACCGCAATGAATGCTGAACGGAACCGAGAACGGTGGAAACGGAGCGAAGGCGGGAGAAGTGCAGGAGCCGGCAAGTGACGTGTAGTGGTCTCAGAAATTGCCGGCGCGTCTCGACGCTAGCGCCGAGGAAGCGCCGTGCAGACGTCGAATTGGAAATTTTTCTTTCATCGGTTTGCGGTTCGTGCGAATTTTCCGGCGGATGAAAGGGAAATGTCAGCAGGAATGCCGAACGAACCAAATGGTGATTTGAGATTGTTGGAGGTTATATCTAAGAAATGAGCTAATTTTTTGCAAAAATATTGTATTGCATATGTTGGGTTTTTTTTATTGCTGATTTCGGAGTATATTTATTGACGTCGAAAGAGAATGGAAACCAGTCGAACGAAAGCTCAGCAAAACGCGAATTTCAATTTAATTTTCTGCCATCCAATTATGGGAAATAAACGATTTTTATTCCGATTTATATTCAACGTGTTTTAGGATTGCTAGTGCATCGATTGCCTCAGTGACGTGGTTCGAAAAAAGCTTTTTTCATCGAAAAACATTACGTTATTTTAAATTATATAACTACATTTAACGTTATTTTCAAGTAAAATTCCCTATTATGAAATCGTCGAAACGATTCGCTTCGGTCCGTTAGAGCCGAACAGCTCTATACGTATACACCCTCCTCTAAATCGGTTATTCATTTCGATGGGAAACGGTATTCGCGTCGCGATGCCAACGCCGGCGTCTGTATTTCTCCAAACACAATTCCTATCAATTCGCGAAGTTGAACAAGGGATTTGCTCTCTAAGAGGCTGTTTTGTTGATCGGGCACGTACAACGCATCGGAATTGCAACATGCCACTTTTCTATCGTTTCTCGTAATATCCCGTTTCGATTGCCACCCTCGAATTTTGCTTTAGATCTTTTTATAATTCTTTAATGTACTCTTTTATACTTTGGCTATACACCCTGCAATATTCTAGATACATTAAAAAATCTGTTTAAATTTAATATCCGTGACCTGTATTCGAAATCCGGTCGCGCTTTTCGCTTTTCTTTCACCTTGAAACTATATGAGCGTTAATTTAGGTTGTAACCGTGGAACAAAATTGAAACCAATTTGCAATTTAATCTGCGCCGCAATTCGCTCGACTCCGATGAATTTGTACTTAGGGGTAGCTGCATTAACCGCTATTTCTATTTACGAAAATTATGCATCTACAAGTCTACGAAAATGGTTTATAATTCCCAAAAGAAAAAAAAGGGACTCGATAAAATCGCTTGTGGGCGAGGAAAGTTTGCAAACGCAATAACAGCGAGTGGGAGCGATCCTGAAAATTGCAATTTGTTTTATTTTTTGATCCGACATAATTAGAAGTTGGATTTAAAGTCACCCTTCGAACGCGGGCAGAAAGGGGGTGTTACGACATACATTCGTCAAATTGTCAGAACACAGTTATTAATGGGTGACCATTTCGATCGTCGGGGGTCTTCTTTTATCATACTCTATACAGGCCCGTACTAAATATTTTATATATTCATTCTCTATTAGAAACGTTCAATATGAAGGATCATTTTTTTATTGGTTCATCTTAATCAATTGATGTCGATGTAGATTATAACTAGGTTTAGAATAATAAGTTATGTTTCAACATTATTCTTGTTCAATCTTTAATTTAAAATAAAACACATCTAATCGAGAATAGAGAGAAATTCGAATTGAATGTAAGAAAACATTTTCATTCTTAATTTCTTCACATTTTTCTAGCGTTAACAATTCGGAGTCCTGTCCTGTAGGCTTTCCATTTCTGCCTCCCCCCAATTTTTTGCTGATGACTAAAATACATTAACATGGTTCCCTTCACAATGCTGAGATAGTGATTACATGTTATGGAAGTCTGCGTTAAAATGCATTATACAAGTCTTTTAGGGGACATTTATCATAAAACAGCGATTTAAATGGCGCTTAATCTAATCTTTGGTTTTGTCTGAAATTACTGGTGTGTGCCATCCATTAAATTCGTTCTATTGACATGCGATTTATCGACACGAAAATACAAACAAAACGTTTCGAGGGACCTGTGCCTATACTAAAGTAGTAAAAGCGAATTGAATTCGATGTAAAAACCGTTCTCTAATTGATGAAATTTTTAATATTCTTACCCGGTGTTTGCCATGTACTAGCACAATAACTCCGAGCCACCGTAAACCACCCACGACCATCCAATATCGGAATGCAACTTTATGGAGCAGAGATAAACTCCCGTCTGATGATCCGGAGTTTCGCGATTCGGACTGGGAGTCACGTGTTTACGACTTTCCCCGTTTTTCCGATGCTTACGTCTTGATTTTCCTTAAGCCCTACGCCGTTTTACACGACATTTATTACACACATCTGCCCCCATTTCGAATTCAATTCGTCAAAAATCGATGCAACATTATCACCTACATAATTCAATTTACCATAATTCTAAAATAATTTATGGCCACTAATTCACCAATTACTTTACTAGAGCCCGTATTTTCCTGTATTACATCATTAATAAGCTCTTATTATACAAGAATCTCCTTCGGCTGAATCCCAGGAAATTTTGACAATGCCTTGTATCAGGTGTTCGAACTGTTGAATAATAATTAGCACACAATATCGTTAGGGCGGAAGCACATAGCGCTAATTGTCCCATCAATCACGTAATTAAAGTTGATATTCGATATAATTTCATGGAGAAGTTATGAACAGCGAAAGTTTTCTCGTTAGTCTTCATTAAAGCGAATCCTTTCCGAGAATGCACTTTTCACGTAACAGGCGAAGTTACAATAAAGATTATTGTTTTCATTGAAAAATTGGCTATTTCGGAAGCAGGAGTAATTCTCGATTTAAAATAGTAGGGAACTGGAATCGAAAAAACCTTGCTGGAAAGCAATAACGCAGCCAGTCGAATTGAAAAGAGCAGAAATTATTTTCAACCAGATAATTCGGAAAAAAGCATTAGAGGTAAAAAGAGTTCTATCAGCGAGAGTCACCGGGACGTGTAGCATCCGTATCGCGGTGAATAAGAGACCGAACGCCGGCGGTTTAGCTGATTTCCCATGGGCCCTGCTTCAATGCCTATCGCACGGTCACACTTCAATGGCTACGGAAAGACCCGTTCACATCATTTCCTGATGGATTACACGCCGAATCCCAGTATCAACTTTGCTTGACGGACACGCCATAATCGGCGAGTATTTTTCCAAAGTCCCTTTTTTATTCCACCTAAGGATTAAGTCTCGTTGGCAATTAGACCAAATCATTATCAGAATTCACCGATATAGAACGTAAATTAGATATCTAAAATGTTGTTGAAGAAAAGAAAATTTTCCTGCTGGCATTGTATACGGCGCGAGGCGGAGAAATAGATCAATTTCACCCTAAAACGTTTCGAACTGTCTCGACCGAAGGGTGTGTTGATTTTATTTGAGAAATCAAATAAAAATCTCGATCTCTTCAAAATTTCATTAGATGACCGATTTCTTGCGAGCGCACCGACGAAATATGTTCGGAAGGCAATTTCTCCAAACCTTTACAGGACGATCGAGTTGAAGAAAATTGTAATAAAATACGAATAAAGTACGTTTCTACTCAGTTGCTTTGAATGAAGAACATGTTAATAAATTCAAGGTAATAATAACGAATAGAAAGAGTCGAGTCTCTTTCTTGAGAATTAATTCAATAAGATAAGGAAATTTCTAAAAATTATAACTAAATCGAAAGTTTGTCCAATTAAATATCAAATATTCCCTTAACCCTAGAAATCTGGGTAGTTTTCGCGCATTTCCTTTATCCCTATCGGCGAAATTGACGCGTCACGACCGTCTGAAATATTCTTTGACGCGCAATTTTCTTTATTGTTGGAAAATCCCTTTCTGTTGTGACAAACCGGATGTTGAAAGAAAAAGAAAGCTCCTTAAGGCCGCTCCATGAATCGTATCTCTTGATTGAGAAAGATAGAAGTATAAAATGTACATTAAAGGGCGGAATCCCTTGACCCTTCGTATATCGACGTGAATAGCGAGGATATCGCTACAGAAACCGCCGGATCACTCGCGCTATACCATTGCGAAATTTTAAATTCAGATACATCAAATCTCGATCCGGAATTGCACGAGCCTCCCTTTAATAGATCGAAGGGAATCAATACGCCGTCGATGCATTACATTTATTTAGGAGCCCGAAAAGGGTGGCATTGTAGCGAAAGGACGGCTTGCAAAAGCAAAGTGGAACGCTTTAAAATCATTCCCGAGCCTGAAAGCCACGCTTTTTCCTTGTATTTCAACAATACCAGACATTATATTGCCACTGGATGCAAATTGTT